CAGAAAGATGATAAAGGTGATCTTCATCCAGTATATTACATGAGCAGGCGAACTACTGATGCTGAAAGCAGATACACAAGCTACGAGTTAGAAGCCTTGGCTATCATTGAAGGAATTAAAAAGTTTAGACACTATCTTTTTGGAAATCATTTTAAAATAGTAACTGACTGCAAAGCATTTCAGATGACATTAAATAAAAAGGATCTGGCCACATCACCTAGGGTAGCAAGATGGATTATATTTCTGCAAGATTATGATTTTACTATTGAGCATCGTGAGGGATCGAGAATGAAACATACAGATGCACTGAGCCGACACCCATTTGTCGCACCCATATTTTCAGACTTGCATAGTTCTCTGAGACGTGCTCAAGAGACTGACAATGGACTCAAGGCCATTAAGAATATACTGGAAGAAGAAAAACCATATAAGGATTTTTATTTGCAGGATGGATTGTTATGTAAAGGAAACGAAAGATGCTTAGTTATCCCACAAAAGATGGAGGTGGAAATTATCAAGAGAGCACATGATAACGGTCATTTCTCAAAGAAGAAAACTATTGAATTGATAAGTAAAGACTATTTCATAACCCACTTGGATAAGAAAGTTGAAGAATATATATCTACTTGTATTCCATGTCTGCTTGCTTCATGAAAGGAAGGTAAACAAGAAGGATTTTTGAACCCCATAGAAAAGGGTGATACACCGCTACACACACTGCACATTGATCATATTGGACCACTTACCGAAACTCGCAAACAATATAACTATATACTCACAGTTATTGATGGCTTCACTAAGTTTGTGTGGTTGTTTCCGACAAAGAGCACAACTACTCAAGAAGTATTGAAGAAGCTGGAAATACATCAACAGGTGTTTGGTAACCCTGCAAGAATTGTCTCTGACAGAGGTACTGCCTTTACAAGCAATGATTTCATTGAGTATTGTAAGCAAGAGGGAATAGAGCATGTAAAAATAACCACTGGGGTTCCAAGAGGAAATGGCCAAGTTGAGAGAGTGCATCGGTCAGTCATCGGGGTCTTGACAAAACTAACACTGGAGCAACCTACACTGTGGTATAAGTTGGTGAGTAGGGTGCAAAGAGCACTCAACAGCACGTATCATAGAAGTATCAATAATACACCTTTCCAATTGCTTCTTGGAACGAAGATGAGAAGGAAGGAAGATGTTGAAATATTAGACTTATTAAGACAAGAAGAAAGGGACAGCTTCATTGAGGATAGGGAAGAATTAAGGAAGAGTGCAAAGCAACAGATTTTAAAAATTCAAGATGAGAATAAAAGAAACTATAACAAGAAGAGAAAGCAAAGCAAGAAGTATAAAGAAGGTGAACTTGTTGCTGTGAAGAGAACCCAATTTGGAACAGGCCTTAAACTCAAGCCGAAGTTTTTGGGACCCTACAAAGTGGTGAAGGTAAAGAGAAATGATAGGTATGATTTAGATAAGGCTGACTCACAAGCGGAAGGTCCTCACAGAACTACAGCGTCAGCAGACCATATGAAGCCATGGCCTGACTATATGAGTGATACAGAGTGAACATTTTTACATGTTATACTTACCTTGATTTGATGGTGGAAGGATGAATGATGTTTAACCGTAATGTACTGTTTTTATGTGTACTTAGCATATTGCTGATTATTCAGTATAGTTGGTTAGTGTAAACAACATTGTATTAGTAATTATTGTAATCTGCTAACAGTTATAGATGAGTTATGGTTGTAACCATGTAACCATGGCATTGTTTTATGGGTTCTATTACCAAAGTTCTTAAGCATTTTTCATAATAATATTTTAACTGTTTTCAAGCATTTATCATAAGATCTGAAGTATGTCACTATAATTAACATTAAAGATTTAGGTTTGTATGTTTAGTCTGAGGACAGACTAAGATCAGGACGGCCGAATGTGGGAATGGGATGTATCCAAACGTGTGATAGATTGAACTAAAGTGTTTTAGACGTGTATCCGAACGGCGCGAGTGAGATGATGAACGGGACAGCGAGAAAGGGAACGAATGAAAGCGAAACAGACGAAAGACGAGACGGACGGAAGACGAGACGTGAACTGCTATGATTTTGTAAGAACATTATATTTACGCGGGTATTAACGCGGAAAATTATAATTTGAATACCTTGGTAGGCTTGACGTTTCGACCCGGTTGCACAGGTCGTGGTCACAAGCAGACTGAAGACGCGATGTCATCACGTGAAGATTCATCACCCGAATGCAGGGAGCTGTGACATCGCGTCTTCAGTCTGCTTGTGACCACGACCTGTGCAACCGGGTCGAAACGTCAAGCCTACCAAGGTATTCAAATTATAATTTTCCGCGTTAATACCCGCGTAAATATAATGTTCTTAAGATGAAACGCGAAAGTTTAAAAGTTATGATTTTGTATTTTTTCATTTGATTTTAAAAGCTGTATAATATAATAAAAGTCAAGAATATTTCCTGGCCGTTTCGCTGTTTCCAACATATATGTGGAGAAAGGAATTTTATTGAATTGTATAAAAAATGGATATTATTATAAAAACAGGTTTTGAGTGTTATAAACACACAATCATTTTCCAACCCCAGACTGTGCTAAAATGTAAAATTGGTGTTAGCAAAACATGTGAGGGATGTGGAAGAGCAGGGAAGAGAAAAGAATTAATGCGAATAAAAATATGGCTGTGCGTTAATATTGATTGTGTAGTGGTGGAAGAAGACTGTGTGACAAAGCGAGTCGAAGCTAAATGTCCAATTATCTACATTTGAAAAAAAAATTGTCGTTGAATTTGATAAAAATGTATGCAATGTTAATTACTTGATATTTTTATAAAATAATGTAATAGAGTTTAAACAAAGCCATTCATATTACACTCATGTTCAGTTACAAATGTATGTAACTGGGATGACAATGTGTGATATTTTTATTTTGAGCAGTATATGGTAAATAATGCTCGTTTATGTTAACTTCATATAAGTAGGTACTTTAATGTGTTACAGTAACGATATTGTTTTAATGTTATATAAAATGCTAATAAGTTGTTTAAAATTATACTCCTTGTTATATTTGTTCTATTAGAAAATTGAAATTTATTTTGAACGGATAATAGGTTTTTAATTTTTGTTTAATAAGTGCAGAACTTTAGGAAATAAAAATCAGTTTTTTTTTTCGTGTGTTTTTATTTACTTGTCCTTTTTTACATATTTGTGCCGCGATCGGTTTCTTTACCCTTTCCACCCATTTCGCACGTTCCGAATAATCGAAGTACATGCAAACATATCATAACAATAACATACCACTTATGAGTTTTTGTTTGAAAACTTTTCTAAAAGTTAGTTTCTCACAGCTCCTCAAATAATAGGCGACTGTCCTACAAACTCTAAGTCCGGAATTTGACTTAGGTATATTAAGTAGATTGCGCAGGCAGCGCCGGTTCCTTCTACGCTCTACACGTTCTTCACGTAAAAGAGCTTCGATTTAGAGCATTCTTGTAGCCATTTCAAACAATTTTCATACAAAACCCACACTAAACGAAAATTAAAAGGTAACACTTTTGGTTTCGTCAATTTGAAGTAAAAAATCCGAAAAATCGTCTGTCAAATTCAAAAGTTCCTTCGGAGCTAATAAGGATTAGAGTAGGTTCTAAATGTCAAACAATTTCGTTCGAACGATATTTCGGAACGAATTGAAACCGTGGTAGGAAACACGCGAAGTTTCGATCGAAAGTTCGTTTTTCGTAGAATAAGAGTAGACCCCCAGGAGGTCTACTCTCTTTCTTCGAAGCGAAACTTTCGGAAACGAACGAAACTCGAACGAAAGAACGTTGAAGACCCTACTCTATTTTATTTTCGGACACGCATACGAAGTTCGATCCAGAGATAATTTTCGTGAACGAATGTAGTTGTGTAGGTTCTTTATAATGTGATTTGTGGTAAATTACGGTTTTTACTTAAAGTTAAAATTACAAATTCTCTGGCTGTTTCTTTAAATTCCACATTATGTATGTGGTTTGTAAAACTATTACTTACGCAGAAAATAAAAATATATTTATTTTTGACGGAATTGTAATTTATCGTGTAATTTATCATCGTTACTTTATAGAACACTCTTTTACAGACATTTATAACCGACTAATTTAAAGAGTACTATTTCATGCCAAGAAAGGGTTGTTATGTATGACAACCAAAAATGGCTGTATTCGGACCGTGCACCACATGTGTCAAAAAATTAATGTCAACAGATTGTTTATTTTTATCAACACGAGTTAGTAAAATATACCATAGAAGACAATAAATATATGTAGAGAAAGGAATTTTATTGAATTGTATAAAAAATTGATATTATTATAAAAACAGGTTTTGAGTGTTATAAACACACAATCATTTTCTTACCCCAGACTGTGCTAAAATGTAAAATTGGTGTTAGCAGAACATGTGAGGGATGAGGAAGAGCAGGGAAGAGAAAAGAATTAATGCGAATAATAATATGGCTGTGCGTTAATATTGATTATGTAGTGGTGGAAGAAGACTGTGTGACAAAGCGAGTCGAAGCTAAATGTCCAATTATCTACATTTGAAAAAAAAACTGTCGTTGAATTTGATAAAAATGTATGCAATGTTAATTACTTAATATTTTTATAAAATAATGTAATAGAGTTAAAACAAAGCCATTCATATTACACTCATGTTCAGTTACAAATGTATGTAACTGGGATGACAATGTGTGATATTTTTATTTTGAGCAGTATATGGTAAATAATGCTAGTTTATGTTAACTTCATATAAGTACTTTAATGTGTTACAGTAACGATATTGTTTTAATGTTAGGTATATAAAATTCTAATAAGTTGTTTAAAATTATACCCCTTGAGACCCCTTGTTATGTTTGTTTGTTCTATTAGAAAATTGAAATTTATTTTAAAAGGATAATAAGTTTTTAATTTTTGTTTAACAAGTGCAGAACTTTAGGAAATAAAAATCAGTTATTTTTTTTAAGAGTGTTTTTATTTACTTGTCCTTTTTTACATATTTGTGCCGCGATCGGTTTCTTTACCCTTTCCACCCACTTCGCACGTTCCGAATAATCGAAGTACATATCATAACAATAACATACAACTTATGAGTTTTTGTTTGAAAACTTTTCTAAAAGTTAGTTTCTCACAGCTCCTCAAATAATAGGCAACCAAAACCTCAAATAAAAAACCGGCGAGAAACAATCAAAGTGTTGTTTTTGTTGTGAGTGAGGTTACTGGAGACCCAATCCTTCCCCTGCCCTTTCCTACCCAAATCAAAAACCCTAATCCCCAAAAGGCCGGCAACGCACTCGAAACTCCATTGGTGTTGTGAGTGTCCATTGGCGGCGTCGATTGTTAATCATCACGTAATCCGTCAGCTCGTTTGCAGCAAATTTAATGTAGTTGGTTGTTTTTATCAATGAGTTATAATAAAAATAGAATGAGTCAAAGCGAAGGACGTAACCGAAGACGGATTTTGCAGTAAAAAACAGATTTAGATGTACACATTTTTGTATTTTACAGAAGTTTATTTATCCAGTCTATATAGTGACTGACTCTAGAATAGCCAGAATAAGAGCCACCGGAACATCCAGGTGTTCCAAATGATACAATACCAATCTGTAAGAAAAAATATTTCATTAAAATTAAACAAATATTATAGTTAAAAGGAATTTTCGATAAAATAAAATATGCTTGTACATTTAAAAGTCATTACTAAGCATTCTCTTGCGAAAAATATCCAATGGCTTCTAATGGCAAGTTTCTGAGCAAAAAATATGTTTCTATTTAAATTATTTAAATATTTTTACCAAGAGTGGCTTGTCGTTTCTTTGCACCGCAAGAGGACCTCCAGAGTCACCAGTGCAAATATTTTTGCCTTCAACGCTGCCTGTGCATACTACGCCAGGCTGAACAATATTTCCGTAGAGTTGTGCGCATTCATTGTTCGAAATCACAGGCAAGTCCACGTAACTAACAGGTTGATCTGAGATAACGCCTACACCACCAACTGTGTAACATATAAACTTATTAGTTTGAAAACCTACAAAGACAGTAGAGTAAGTAAATAATAAAAATTTCTTACGTATAGGATTGATTCCGAAACCAGAGGCAATGGCAATGTCACCAGCGAAGTCCTCTTCAAGCTGAGATCCGGAAGGTAGGGCGATGGGAGCGAGGACATCTGGGGTTTGGTAAGAATGAATTTCGATTCGGGATTGATATTATTCAAATACGTTAAACTTAATATTCAGAAGGTATATATCATTAACATAACTATACAATTTAAAAATACTCACTTGAGAATTCAACAGATGACGGCAAGTTAATAATAGCAATGTCACTTATTAAACGGAAAATGTTGAAATTTTCATGCAAAACGAAGTCGCTAGTGGTAAACCTTACACCATTTCCTAATAAAGTGGTAGTTCCAAGGACCACAGTTACACTTAGAGCATTCGATACGCCATCGTTTAAGTTGTGTGCAGCAGTTATTACTCTATTACTGGAGATGAGAGCTGCACTGGCAATACCGTTACCAAAGGGTAGATGGACTACAAGTCCAGCCTGCAAAACAAAGTGTTATCTATAAATATATATTTATTTTTATCACTGAGAACTATTTTTGTACATAAATAAGATGCAAATGTCATGTTTCAGCATTAATACAAAATGTTTTGAAGTACCTGGTACGGCAAATCTCCCGGAGCAGCAAATGAACCACCGATGATTCTGGATGGATTCTGTCTACCTTCGCTCTCAGCGATACGAACTTTGTCAGCTAAAGGCAAGCTGATGGCAGAAATGTAACCATATTGAGTGTTTTTTTCTAAATCGATAACATCTTCAAGGGTGATGTGCCTCGCGGAGGCGGCCACTGCTAGGGCTAACAGAATCCCTGCCAAGAACTTCATTTTGTTATTTGTGTTCACAACAAACTCACCACGTACCGATATTCATATTCGTTTATATACTGCAGGTCTATATAACAAGAGATAAGCCATATGAAGTAGATTAGTATTAAGTTAGATTAGTATCAACATTAAATTAAAACTGGAAATAACGAATTGGTTTCCCCACGTATATCTATGTGATAAATATACGATAAAGTTAATAATGAAGGTTTTTGGATAATTGCTTGTAAATCCTAAATATTGACGTGCTTTGCTGTTTGTATTTTTGTCTACTTTAGATAAACGTGTCTAGAATTAGAATTCGCTCCGTCATCACTCGGTAATAAATAAAGCATGGGTTATGAGGATGCGATTTATTTATTTATTTATTTATTTGAACATGCACTTACTGGCTCACAGTGAGCACCAAAACGCCAGCAAGCCAATTAATTAAAATATAAAGCACATCAATTATTAAAACAATACAAAATTTAAAAACAATACAAAATACAACATCAAGATCCAATAATAAATGTCAAATATTTACAATACATGTCAAAATCATTAATTAGTCCGAAATATCAAAAGTAAAATCTAGAAATAAAAAAAAATAAAATAAAAATCAATATGTCAATAGTAGAAGTCACACACACAGGTCAAAAGTACATCATTATAAAATTACATTAAATAATTATTGACAAATGTTTCGGTTTTAGCACATAGCATTTTAAAGTGGTCAGCAAATATGTCGATATCATTGTCACGAGCGATCATATCCTCAATAAGGCCCAGTGCCCGAACAGTCGGTGCATGCAACGCATAGTTGGTGCGCGTTTGAGGCCACCACAAAAGGCGAGGCCGACGCCTCGGCGCAACTGTCCCTTGCTCATTCCATGCCAGTCGTTTGGGAACAAGTAACCTCACCATGCCTAGTACTATAGGGTTGTCTACTTTATGGTGCACTATTGACAGATAGTGCAATATTGTTTGCACCACCCTCCTGAACTTGAGGGTCTCCAGATCCACCATACCAGCTACAAAAGAGGAAGGGTATAAGTAAGGATAGTAGCCATACCTTTTCTTATATAACCAACGAGCGAATTTACGTTGTACCCTTTCAAGCATAATATTGTATTTTTCCTCAGATGGAGCCCAGACTATGCCACCATACTCAAGTTTGCTACGTATGTAGGCATTATAGAGAACAGTAGCAACTCCTAAATTATTAAATTCAGATGATGTACGCATGACAAATCCAAGCATTTTGTTTGCCTTTTTGCATATTGCCGTCACATGGTCATGAAAGTTAAGTCTAGAGTCCAATTGAAGTCCCAAGTCACGAATATCTGATACCCTTTGAAGGGCAGCGTCGGATAAAGTGTAAGCTGCATTGATCAGCTGGCGCTTACGTGAGAAAGAGATCGTTTTGCATTTCTCGATATTAAATGGAAGACGGTTTTCGCTGCTCCAGTCTCCTACCGCGTCTATGTCTCTTTGCAGAGCTTCGCAATCTGCCGATGTCTCGACACCCAGACTAAGCTTGAGATCATCAGCAAACAGCAGACATTGGGAAAGACTGACTCGCTGAGGAAGGTCATTGATAAAAATTAGGAAAAGTAGATGCGTAGCGATAGTAGTATGAGTAGCGATGTTGACTACAAAATGAAAAATGACTACAAAAGTACAGTTCGTCGACGAGAAGGGGAGATTGGTTGACGATCAAAATTGCACCACATAATTATTTAGTACGAGCGGCCCGCCCCCGCTTCGCACGGGTCCAACTATCTCGCGATCAAAGGGTTACTTTTTCCTAATCTTTCCCTCTACTTTTCTAATATTTTCTTTGACAAGAACCTTCTCCTGACAATAACAAACACAACAAAAAAAGAATTAGCAAAATTGGTCCAGGCGTTGTTGAGTTATGCGCTTACCAACACATTTTGCGATCCATTTTTATATATAAGAAGATAATTTTAATGTAATAATTTACTTTTGTTTTGGATTCTGACCGAACAACCGTTTAACTTTAAAGATGGCAATGTAGCAGAAACCACTCTGAAGTAACCCATCGGACAGGCCCAAAAGAACGAACAACAATTTGTGGAACTAAAATAACCAATTTACTTATTATATTAAATTGCTTAGGTCAACAATCGAAGTTAAATTGATAGAAATTCATACGTCAGCACGAGTAAAGCGGCTCGAATGAAGGGACGGGCGCTTACAGGTATGTAACCATTTTCAATTTTATGCTTGACTCTAGGTCAAACTGCCTCAAATATGTAACTTTTAATGGAGTGACCTCAAAAAATCCGCCGTGAGACAAACTTAAAGTTACCGTAGGCCAAAGTACTGTCTGTTGGAGGGGTCCAACCCTCAAATCTCCACAAAAGATCGGTAATGCACTTGTGAATTTTTGGTGTTGCAGGTGTTCACGGACGGCGCCGATTGCTTTCCATCAAATGATCCATGTGCTCGTTTGCCTATCTATTCAACAAGAAACAAGTTACAACCATTACACTTGGAACTTTCAGTCAATACTCTAGGTTGATGAAGTACTTTCGTTAATAAATGGTTATAATGAATTATATTTATTTTATTACATCAGCACCTACATTATACGTTTAGTTACTGATCACATCACTCTTATAGTGAACAATGAACGTACCAAAAGGACTAGTTGGACGTTTTCTCCTGGCTTTCGTACAATTTTTTTAAGAGGTCAGCACTGAAGTAGACTTATTTCACGTGTAGGAACAGGCGGTAAGGACATCTAATTTAATATTGTGAGTCAGACCGCTATTTTTTTTTAACTTCAGTTAGCGTTTGCGTAGAGTACAATGCAATGAGTATTTATTGAAAATTACGACTTAGTCATATAATTTTTTATAAAATTTGTTTGATTTTGAAAAAAGTGACCGACGAAGTGACGGAGAAATTAAATTTTAGAATGCCACTTTTAACGTCATCTTATACTTTATCTATCAACATGTTGCTGTAAATTAATTCAATTAGAAAGTGTAGCGCTAGTGTACTACTACTCACAGCGGATTCAGATTTGAAATTTAGAATGAAGTCTTACAGAATGACACTACAGTATGCACAACATCGAGCTTTTCTCAGTTAATTTAGGGTGATTCATTTCATGATATAGTTACTCTACAAAAAAAAATGTGTAAAGAGTTGCTAATAACAACTCTATAATATTATTATGACTTGTTTTAGAGTACACAAAATATTTCAGATTACCGGTGCAAGTGCAATAATGCAATAACGTACCGCGGCCTCTGGCAACTGGCTACTGTACAACGGTTCCTATACGGAACAACTCTTTGTTTAGTGTAATGTGTATGTGAAATTGTATGTTTGCAAACGCAACCACGACATAGGAGAAAATCATTGTGTGGTGCAACGTTTTTTCAAAAAAAAAAAGTCGACACTCGTTTTCATCGCACCTAGGGCGGGAGATGTCATTTGAGAATTGCCAGCCCTCCAAAGAAAGGTTGGCTAGGTAATAATAATTAAGGATTACACATTTATATTTTTAAGAATATTTTATTTATATAATTAGTTGTTTTTTATTGACTAATCTTTGTGTGAATTTAGCTTTTATAGGTGTCTGTTGATCCAGCTCATGAAGGATGTAACTCTAGCAAAGCCGGATGGTAGACCAGCTTCACATCCACGGAGTGAGCCGAATGAAGCAATACCAATCTGAAAAGGAAGAATAAAAATTTAACTATAAAAAAATGAAGATTTGAAATGAATTTTCTTGTTATTTTTTTTAAGAAAATATTAAGCAAACAAACTAACGTCTTAGACTACATATAACTAAGCGGCCATTATTTTAACGAAGTATTTTGACGACGGAGACCCTATGATTCAGCACCAATAAGTCGACTTGAGAAAAGCGGCTGAAAACAATTATACAGCGTTGAGTTTCACTGTGTGAGTAAGGTTTCCGAAGGCCAAAACCACAAATTTTCAATCCACAAATATCATAACGGTCTGCCGGTTTGTCGCCCACCCATAAAACACAATAATGTGTATGCAATAACTAATACTTAGCGTTGCCATATCCGAAATGAGTACATAGCTTCATTGACCACAATGTTGTAGCTACATATGGCAAGAAAATAGTGCTGTTAGTAACAACAATATAAAAACATGCTGTTCCGTTAAGAAATAAGTATGTGAAGTATAAAAAAACTACTTACCAAAACTGGCCTGTTGTTTCTTGTAACAGCAAGAGGGCCGCCGGAGTCACCAGTGCAAATACCCCTAATACCAGCGCCACTCGTGCATAAATTGGACGATTGGATGGTTGATCCGAAGGTTTGAATACACTCATTGTTCGAGATGACGGGTAAGTGGACGAAACTCAACCGTTGGTTAGCGGGTATGCCACCAGCTGAGGAAAATATAATTACAACAAAATTAATTAATTACATTATAATGTAAATATTAAATAATATTGAAACCTCTCAAAAATACAGTTCACTTGAACTGTTCGAGAAAAGTTCTACCAGTTTTAAGTCACACTGGAACTGGTTAATGTGAGTACGTCGCATTTTTCAGTAATATAGTATATCCAACGATAGTTACTACACAAAATATTATCAAACCATGCCTTACTTTCCGAGGTCAAGCCATATCCTGATGCAATGGCGATATCACCAACAAAGTTTTCATTCAGTTGAGCGCCAGAAGGCAGAGCGATGGGGGCCAGAATGTCTGTTGATAAAAATCCGTAAAATAAGTTAATATACAACGTAACATAAATAACTAAACTTATTTTATTTTAACGAAAAATATAAACAGTTTTCCTTATTATTAGAATCTACTTACTAGAAGAGCTAACTGCCCATGGTAAATTGATGATAGCGATGTCGTTCCTAACTGGAGGCGTCCAGTTGTCGTGCAAAACGAAGCTTGTGCTCACCAGGCGAGTACCTCCAGAAAAAATAGTAATGGAGCCCAACACAACATTAATTCTCGTCACTGATACAACAGCGTCATTTATGTTGTGAGCAGCAGTAAGCACTCTTCTTGAAGAAATTAGAACTGCACTAGCTATAGAATTGCCACGTGGATATTCCGTTATAAGTCCAACCTGAATAACATGAAAAAAAACATTTCACGACAGAATCAACTGATCCAAACATGCAAATTCACATGAACGTCTTACCCAGACGCGAAACCACATTTTTGGGCTCGTTACTCAGCATCCATTGCCTAACCACTGCGCCAACTTCACAGTCCAGAAATTCAATGCCATATATGAATATAATCAACAAAAAGTTTTTACCTGGTAAGGGAACTGTCCAAGTACTGCATGCGAACCGCCAATAATTCGTGATGGATTATTCAGAGCAGCTTCTTCCTCTATCCGAACCTTATCGGCGTATGGCTTACCAATCTTTTCAATATAGCCATACGCGGAATTTCTTTCAAATTCGATGACATCTTCGAGGCTAATATGCCTTGCAGATCCGAAGGCTACTAGAGCCAAAAAATATACCACTGGAAACTTCATTTTCCTAAAACTAAAGTTAAAAACTAAATTGGTTTGTATTTTATACTCCTACTTTTATCTATGTTGATCATTGGCATTACATAAATATTGATTAGCTGGTAAATTGTAAATTATGGTTATCAGTGCAAAGTACTTATAAATAAATTAATCAGAGCAATTCATAATGGGTAATCTTCGATTTGGCTGATTGCGTATCTATTGGAGCTATCACTATTGTGTAAAATAGCAGAAGCTGTCTTTATGATTCAGAAGTGAACAAGTAAACAGATATCCATAAAGTACTAACTACCAAACTTATATCCTACTATCTTACTAATATTATAAATGCGAAAGTTACAATGCTTGAATGTTTGTTACTTAATCACGCCAAAACGGCTTAACGGATCAGGATGAAATTTGGCACAGGCATAAGACACTCCGGAATACGACACAGGCTACTTTTTATCAACTTACCTCGCGGGCGAAGCTGCGGGCGAAAGCTAGTAATATTATAAATGTGCAAATTTGTGGGATTGTCGGGATGTTATGTTTCAAATTTGTTATATATGTAGATAAGCGATACCCTGAATTAACATACCCGCTGTTTTTTTTTAAGTGGATGAGGGCGTTTGCGGAGCTTAGTAAATAATATTGCTTCTTTTTATGTTTCATCATCTTTTTACACACACAGCTTTTTTAACTATAAAACTTATAAGTCATATTAAATTTTTAAATACTGAATTGAAAAGACTGTATCAACTGACTGGCTTCCTAGAAAGATTCAAAAACACCCTGAGAGCAACGAAGTAAAATTAGGTTCAATGTATATTTTGTCAAGGACTCATTGGAGAGGACTACGAGAGAGGCCTTTATTCACCAGTTGGCATTTTCTACATAATTTCCAAAAACCCGACAACTAACTTATGTATGCCAATAATGAAAGAAGTAAATAAAATAAAATAGTATCAATAATATTAATATGCATGCAGACTTTTCTTCTGGTGACATTAGCTACATTAGTTGGCAAGTTTACACAGTTCATTCTGTCTGAGATAATCACTACTTACTTAGTGCTGATTTTTCAATGGTTAGATAAAAGTTACCTGGGGAATAATTATGATGCTGTCGCGTCAGAATGTTTGTATAAGACAGTGACAGCAACAATTTTATTCCTCAGATATCATTTATCTGACTATTGAAAAATCAGCCCTTAATTGAAGATATACATATGTACCTGACACAAACAATGATTCGAGTTGATAGTATTATTGTTATCTATTAAATTGAAAGATCGAATCAAGGAAATACCAATACATGCGATGATGTCTTTAATAGCTTGGTTCACTTTATCAGTAAAATATTTCCCTCATAAATTAATCGATATCTGTTACAATTTGATAAATAGGCCAGCTAATTTTGATACGTTTTCTTTTTTCTTTTGTTCCTCGATTCTGTATAAGGTTAGAGAATGATGTGTACTGTACATACTTAAGATAAAAATAAGCACTGCTTAATATCACTAGCTTTCAACTCCCTGCAAAAGGTCAACAACGCTATAGTAATTCTGTTGGTGTTGCGGGTATCTATGGGAGGCGTCGTTTGCTAACATTAAGTGTCCCGAATGCTCATTTAATGATCTAGCCTACAAAAAAAATTATAACAAAATACAATAAGTGTGGGAGAGCCAAGCACGAATGGGTCGGATCGACCAGAGAGCCAAAACCATAACCGGCGTGTAACAGCTACAGCGTTGTGTTTCACTGTGTGAGTGAGGTTACCGGAGGCCCCATCACCTCCCTCCCCCCAATCCCTTCCCAATTCTTAAATAACTAAAACCTTTATCCCTAAAAGGCCAGCAACGCTCTCGTAACTCCTACGGTGTTGCGGGTGTCCATCGGCGGCGCTGATTGCTTACCATCAGGTAATCCGTCTGCTCATTTGCCAATCTATTCCATAAAAACAATACGTAGTCTCATCATCAAATAATCAGTTATCTAATCAAAAGAATCTCTTTGCGTCAATTGTTTTTAAAAATTGTTGTAAGTAATTTATTTTTTGCATGATTTTAATGCTTCTGGATCACAAAGATAAATTGACTATTCTAAATACAAAGGGCAGACGACTCCCTCTTGTCTACAGCCAGGGTGGCTGTAGACAAGAGGGAGTCGTCTTATCTTATCAAATCTATATAAGTTAGGACTTTCTGTGTACCACATATATCCAATGGACCTAGCGTATGCTCTTAATACAGTATACAGCGACATATATTCGTCCAAATAAAGTGTGGAAATACCCTGAGACAAAAAAGTTCTCAGGAGCGATGATCCCTAAAATCACTTCCCGACACTTTATATCTGGTATACACAAGCAGAAAAGGTATTCCTTAACAGCCAGGGATATGGATCAGGCGTGACATCATGCGTCCTCGCTATACACGAGGCTCAAGGTCTTTTGTGATTGAGACGGGAAAAAAATATAAGATAGCGTACTTACTACACGCGGAAGTAGCAATATCGCGTCACACTCACAGTTGTATCTACTACACTAAACTACAACCAGAAATGGCCAACAAACATAGAAATGCGGTGGTTGAGGTGCTTTTGATAAAAGTCATAGCTGCTGAATGCAGGTCCACCAATCGTCTGATGAGGATGTCATTGGGAGGCCTATGTCCTGCAGTGGGGGTTTATGACTGATAATAATAATGAGTGTAGCGATTTCATAAATAAATAAGTAACTGAGGTGATGACAGAAAAAGACAGAACCAGCCTACCAGGTTGAATACTAATTAAAGGACATTTGCTACACAAAAAAATCATCTGAGCAAATTGGACTACAGTAAAACTTTGCTATGCTCATAAATAAAATAAAATTATTACGTTTCAACGAAACAGAACCACTAAAACTTTTATAAAGTGAGAGAGCCATGTTTCGGCATAAGTGGTCCGGCTAGACCGGAATGACCATGGTCTCACTGAAAACTGACTTGGAAGGACGCTTATGTTGTGTTTCGTCGTTTGAGCGAGGTTTGCGACTTAACATTACCAGCGGCTAAATCCTTTCGAGCCCTAATTCTTCCAATCCTTACATGCCTCATAACTTAAAGACCGTTGATGCATTTGCAACTACTTACTACTCTGATATTTCTGGCGTCAATGGACGGTGCCGATTGCTTATCGTCAGGGCCTCGAGTCTGCTATTACAATAGTGTCAGAATAGTAGATCATTGGTTTCAAAATTGTTGATTTTGACGAGTTTGGTAATCTACTAACACTATAGCGTCATTATGACTTTCCAATTCCACTTCATTGAAATAATTCTTTAGAACGGTAATCTCGTACATAATGACAAATTAATATTAGATACATACTGCGGTAACATAATGCGGTAAATTAATAAAAAATGTCATTTCCTTTATTCAATGATTTCCGTTTAGAATATTAATGTGCAGTTATTGTTTGTATTCGTTACAAGACATCTCGTACTATAATTCTATTACGACATCGCCGAACACCAATGCAGCCATTTTGAATTAACAGATTACGAAATTTTAGCAAAATGACAATGGAATCGTGTAGGAATGACAACACTTTGAAAATAGTAGACTCGGGCCCCAGGTCATCCGTCTGCTTGTATATACGTAGACAATCATGTAGAGGTTAGATGTATGAGCTGACCATAATAATATATGTATATATTTAATTATCAAAAAATAACATAATTAGTACGGTACGTAAGTAATACTCACTAAAGTTTCGACAGAACTCAATATAGTGTTTTAAATTAACGCTTGCTCAGACAACTTAAAAGGCGCCAATTAAACATTTCAAAAGGTTTTATAAGTATCCTATTTAAATACATTGGTATTTTGTTTACACCAATTAGCTTCAAATTCAAGTCACGTTTAGTTAATTATGTAATGAAGCACAAATTTAAAGCAACTTTTAACATTACATGTTTAACTTACAATACTGGTTATAAAATTTATATTAAACCTATACCTATACAGTTCACATTGGTTATTCTTATCATTACATATTTTTTTTCCGATTTATAATAGCCTCATAAAAAACACAAAAACCTAACGTAACGCAAAAACGTTTCATTGTTTTAAATTAAACTAATTAAATTCAACACATGTTTGCACAATCCAGTCATTTTTATTAATATAATTCTAATATTAGAGTCGCCTTTGAATCCAACTCATGAAGGAAGTGACTCTCGCGTATGCAGATGGCTCTCCAGCCTGGCAACCACGCCAATGTCCGAACGAAGTAATACCAATCTGCAGAAAATAAAAAGTAAGTTTTTATGATGGCATTTTTTAAAGATTGAAAGCGCTGATTAATGTCCAGAAATTCGGCCATGATAATGTTCCTGTAGTACGTACCAAAACAGGCCGATTATTCCTAGTAACGGCCAAAGGACCTCCAGAGTCACCAGTGCAGATGTTTCTTCCACCAGCCCTACTAGTGCATATGTTAGTGGAATGGTAGTTAGCATAAACTCTTGAGCAGTCCGAGTTTGAGATCACAGGTAAGTTCACGAAACTCAAGCGCTGGTTGGCGACCACACCTCCGACTGTTTTAACAGATAAGTTATTAAGATAACTAAGCAAATAAATGATAAATACGAATTATTGTTTTTCTACTCACTGTCTGCAGTTTTTCCAAAACCAGATGCAACTGCAGTGCTCCCAACAAAGTTCTCGTTGAGTTGTGAGCCGGAAGGTAAGGCAATGGCAGCAATAGTATCTGGAAACAAGTATTACAAAAATACATTTTTTAATAATTCTGGATTATAATGTCTTAAAACCTATACTAAGATTGACTGTCTCTTTAAAAAGTACTCACTTGAAAACCCTACAGCAGAGGGTAGGTTGACCATAGCAATATCGTTCCTAACAGTGGCAGCATTATAACTTTCATGTAAAACGTAGCTGTTTGTGCTTATTCTGGTACCACCGCTAAAAATAGTAGTAGACCCAAGAACAACAGTAACTCTCGTTACTGATACTATGGCGTCATTGAAATTATGAGCAGCTGTTAGAACTCTTCTATTCGATATTAGTACACCACCGCCGAAAGGCGTAGCATTCGGCAAATGAAGAAGAAGACCAGCCTGCAAAATAAAAGTTCTATTAATAATTGTTAAGTGATTTCATTCAAATAATGCAATTTGTCTTTATATTTTTTATATTAATTTTGTAATAGAATTTATATTGCGATTTGTCTTTCAACTTTGTAATAGAATTTATGTAGTGTTTCTTATTGAAACTTCAAAAAGGACTAAATTTGTTTTTTTGTCCGATATTTAGAGTTTCGATCGATCGGTTCGATCCCAAGTAGTTAGAAAAGTACTTTTAAGTTTATTTTTATTAGGAACTTCAATAATCATATGAAATCTTAATTTCAAGTACACAATAACACTCGCCTGATAAGGAAACTGCCCTGTTGCAGCAAATGAGCCACCAACAATTCTACTAGCATCCTGGCCCACCTCCTCAGCTTTACGAATTTTTTCAGCTAATGGTATGCCAACTCTGTTGAGGTATCCATGTGCACCGTTTTGTTCCATTTCGATGACATCTTCAAGGCTTATGTGCCTTGCGGACGAAACGGCTACTAGTGCAAAAAGTGTCACTACACACCACCTCATGTTTACAATGATAATTAATTAATGCTCTTGTTATTACTTTAAATCATATTTATATCAAATTTCGTACACTGATATTGTTTTATTTCGATTTGTATCAAAAAGATATAATGATGTAGATAGTCTTGGCTTAAGGCGAAATCATATTTTTTTTGTAGTGACCGCCTGCTTAGTCTTCCTTTAATTATTTTACTGTATTGAAAACCTACTATTGATAATAATAGAAGTGTATTATTATAATACAGGCTTTCAAATCACGACAATGTTACAGAAAAGTGTTATAACCTCAAAATATAATAACAAAATCAAATTAAAGAAAGTTCAGTTAAAAACACAAAACAAATTTTGGATTTTGGTTTAGACTTCGTTTATTTTTGGAAACTTCGTAATCTGAGAATCAAAATAATTCCCGATCAAAATAAATTAAAATTGTTTATTTGCATATGGCCAGATCTCAATCTTAGAACTACTAATAATTTTCTATTTATTTTTACGTACACTACTTAAAACATATGTGGAAGTTCAGATACCTTTTTTTGAGCGGCTAAATAATTATAGACTTTTCTTGCCATTGGTGGTGCAAGAAGAAGAAGAAGAAGAGTGTCAGACTTACCAATATAACCAAAAAAACCTTCCCGTTCTGTCTTCTATTTCAAGTTGGGGCCGCGGTTCATTATTGTGGTCATCACTACTTCGGCTGATGTCGTGATTGTGCTATAGGTAGATGTTAGTTTACTACAGTTTTGATTTACTTCATAAATCAAATACAAATTGGATGTTTTATTCGAAAGCCTTTTCAAATAATTCAGGTTTTAGAAGACAAATGTTGTCGAAAGCTTGAATTGTAAACGTACTCGTTAAGGGTAAATTTAAAAAAAAATGCCAGCAATTGAGATTATTCTTTTTAGAAGTTAGTGTGTTGTTTGAACCACTACTAAAGTAATATACTTATAGTAGGTATATTTAAGTACAAGGGGTCACTAAAAGCCAATGCTGGTAAAGCTGAAAAAAATGGTTTAATTTATAGATTTGACCTAACAATAACAGGTTATTTTGACAAATATACTATGTTGCTTGTTTGTACCGTAAAAAAATATATGTTTTTATCTCAACAGAAAATCAAGCTAACTAAAATTCGCGGGTTACTCACATGTAAAGCGTGCGCGGACGCGGCGACGTCGCCGCGTCCGCGCACGCTGCTCATGAGGAAGAACCCCTCTGTGGTTCGAAACTAGTAGAGCTTTTCTCAACATTTACACGTGAGTAACCCGCGAATTTTAGTTAATTTAGTATGTCTCACGATAGTTATTATAAAAACATAGAAAATCAAGCCTTATGTAACAAAACAATTGATTGATGAATGTATCTTGAGTAATTAACTAGACCTTTCTATAATAATCCTTAACTGTTTTATCAGATAATTATGATAAGTTTGGATATACAGAGTGTTCCTGGATATATGGATCAAATGTAACTGAAAAGGCATGACTTTTTGGGAAATTTAAAGTCTGATAAGGTGGGATGTTATTTTATGTTTTATTTGCTGTAAGTATATCGAGGTTAAATATAATTTAAAGATTATGTTAATGTAGCCTATATTACAAAAAATACAAATCGGTCAATAAGCCAATTAAAAAAAACAACTAGTTGAAATTAATTATCAGGATGTTTCTCTCTCCTATCTTATTCAGTCATGCCAAATCCAATACGTTCCAGTAAATTAATTAAATTTATTGTGTAATTTTAAGCCTACAAATAAAATAGCTTTGACTTTTCTTTGAACATTATCAAAAAAGGAATTTGGATAAAAATAATATTTTCAACCGTGAATTGAAAAATTGAACATGGTACTTATTTCAAATAGTAGGCCTTTTTTGTGAGGGGAAAATCACCAAGTGACTTTTCCTGCCCAAACCTGGGCTCTTACTGACTAAAAACCCCCCGTTCCTTTTCCTGCTCTGGGCCGAGGCCGCGGTGCCTAATTGAGCTTTCCCCGCAACCCCGGCTTGCGAAAGTAGGCCTCAAACTCGCACGTCAACATGACACAAAAATCCACATGATGTGGGCAGAATTATGACAACTTTGAGATACCCAAACAATCTCAGAGGTAATCTCTTTAAAGTCCAGGGTCCAAAATTCGACTAACATCCTCAGGTAAAAAAGATAGGAAACGACGTCCGTTGTTTGTTTTGATATACTTCTTATTAATATCAATAAAACTTGTAAAAGCTTGTCTGTACATGGAAGATAAGTAGAAAAAACTTTACTAAGGCAACTTTATACACGTAATAGAAACCAAACAATGATTTTTAGAATGTTTGTTTGTTAGTCTTTCTTTTTTTTAAACGTTGCCCCACACTAGGATTTCCTCCTGTGTCGTAGGTGCGTTTACAAACATACAATTTCACATGCACATCACACCCAGATCCGGAACAACAATCTGTGGATCACACAGAGTTGTTCCGTGCGGGGATCGAACCCGCGGCACGTTGCGCGGCAGCCAGTTGCCCAGCCACCGCACCAACCGTGCAGTCAATATGTCTGTCAGTCTGTATGTCTATTTGTCTGTACGTTTTCGTTTCGTTTCGGGCTAATCTCATAAACGACTAATTGAATGCGGTATCACTACAACGTTTCTTTAGTATATTTGTTTTGTTTAAATCGGTTCATACATAAAACAGTTATTATCCTGCGTATTTTCCGGTTAATTTCACTAGATGGCCCTGTATGATTTCGTCACAATCCTAAATCGCGGTGTTAAGATTTTTGTAAAAATAATTTATTTATTTATTTATTATTGCTTAAAAGGTACATTTTACATTATAAAAAGTATAAAATGTCCAACAGAACTGTATACACAGTTTGTCTGTTGGATCAGATTTCAAAAACTAACTTAATAGAACCTATAGTAAGTCAATAGGACTTACTATAGGTTCTATTAAGTTAAGTTTACAATAATAATAAACATTACCCTCACATTCGGTACATCGGCTTGTTGACGATGATGATGATGATGATGATGATGGTGGTGGTGATGATGATGTAGATGATAATGGTGGTGTGGTGATGATGATGATGACCACGACGACGATGATAATGATGGTGGTGATGCTGATGATGATGATGAGTTATATGCTTTGAGATTAGTATGATAATATATTCTTGATTATTGATTGATTTCAAGATACAACATGTACATTTTGTTTTCCAAAAAATATAAATTGGTAAGAGGATGATAACGACTCATCATTAACGAATGTTACGGTAATTATGGATTTAGATGATAACGAAATTAGGTTTTCCCAATTTCTGGTGTCCATTCAATCATTTTCTGTGATAAATGATTCAACTTATATATGATTTAAAGCTACGAACTAAGTATGATTAACATTTTCAAATATATTGGACAACTCTACTATGAATAAAATCTTAAAATACATATATTTTCTTTAACTCCCATTTTTAAAATTTGCCGGCTGCAGTCTTTCCGTCCGAATACAATTTAGGTGTCTTCAAGGCTAGAGTGAATAGGCTCTTAATAAACTAGTGCGCCTTACGATTGCATCACTGCTTACCATCAGGTGGGATCGCAGTCAAGCACTACTTTATTGCAAGTAAAAAAAATATAAAAATCGTTATATTTTAAGTGTGGAAGAGCCACTCTTCAGCGAAATAAGTCGGCTCGACCGAAGTGATACCATAGCCTCACAGAAAACCGGCGTGAAACAACCACTGTGTTGTATTTTGCCGTGTGAGTGAGATACCGGATGCCCAATCTTTACCCTCCCCCAATCACTAAATCTGCAAATCCCTAATCTCCTAAAGGTCGCTAATGCAATGGCAACGGACGTCGAGTAAGGGACTTGACCAGTATCAGAAACGAACGTACGGCGCGTTGCGAGCCCTCAAAAAGCCAATAGATAGGTTGCGGGGCAAGCGCAATAAGGCACTGCGGCCTCTGCCTAGAGCAGGAGAAGGTACACAGGGGGTCAGTAAGGTAAGAGTCTGACTTACTCCTGCCCCGCCCTGAGAGCGAGAGATCACTTGATGATTTCCCAAATTTCGCTAAAGATGAGTCTTTTATTACTAAAAAGAAGGGACCTGCCCCAGTTTCCAAAACTATAAAAGGTACAAAAGTGTGCGCAATGAGGATTTCATTGACTTCTAGGTATATTTTTTGTTCCAAAATTCGATTTCATTTTGCTTGCATGAAGTAAATTATAATACTTTTGCTATTTATCTTTCTTTTTTACTATTTTACCGGCGTACTTTTACTTTAAATTCAATATTTTTTATTTAGTAAAATTAATTTCCTATGGTATAAATTTTTTCGATTTCGTTTGGGAAATTAAAAATGGTTATGGCTTCGCATTTATTTCTTATTACAGGTAATCTTTAACAAAATATTATTAAACTAGTCTAGTGAAATGTGTTGACTTAAAACTTGCTGTTGAATTAAAATGTGACAGCAAGAAATATAGGGGACGATAACAGAAAGTAGAGAAAGAGATTGTTTTACAATCGATATGAAAAAGATCATGTGATAAGAGGACGTCGTCACATAGAGGGGAATGGATAAAAATCTCAAGAAGCTTAGGATGAGGACAGGAAGGATAGTTAACATTTTGATTTGATAACAGTTACTTATACTGGATAGGTACAAAGTTATACTGGTTTACAGGAGATATACTTAAGTATTTTTTTTAGTAAAAATTATCGAGTATAGGCAAGTTCTTAGAACTACGAAACCCCTTGGAGTCATTTTGTGGATTATTAATTAAATCATGCAAACTACAGACGTGTTTCAAACATTTCAACTCAGTTTGGTGATGATAAAAGGGCTGCAAAATATTTTAAAGCCGAAGCACGGCTTTCCCACTCTTAAATTAACCTAACGATAAAGTTGGTCTGCGACAAAAAGGCGTATGACGATGCGAAGTTGCACTTTACAGATAATATTATTAGTACCACAAATATACTAACATATTATATGTTTTATTGCAAGTTAAAAATAAAAGCTTGTTATGCATAATATACTTAGCTCGGTATCTTATATTTTTGAAAACATTTCGAAATATGCTTGACGTAAGCGACGTATATCTAATCTCCAATGATCACATTACATCGTGCGAGTTGACAAAAAAATATGCATTATCGTAGCGTCATACCCAAGCTTTTTTATTAATGAGGCCTTTCATCAAACATTTTTATGAAAATCCTCATGTACTTCCCTCGCTTTGCGGATGACCGGGGAGGAAACGTTACGTGGCTCCTACTCGCTTGGGCGCCTTCGGCGATTCTCCACACCGATCTTTCTTGGATTCAATCCGTGGATTATATGCTTGTAATAGGTCCCGCCAATTTAGCGCGTCATAGAGGCCGCTTTGAAGCAAGAGCAGGGGAAAAATGTATGACTATAGGTACCCCTTCAAAAAATTATGAATATTTTATGAATATTTTATGGCTTAATATCCGTCAACTACCTTTTTCCAAGGTCAATTAAAGTGGTTGAAGTGTCAATCATCCTCTTTACAATAATTGTGTAACTTATAATTTCTTTATTTCACCAAATTGTAGATTGCGATGCACATAAATGCAATAAGCGATTTTTAGCAGTGTTGTTATAAGTCAGAGACCAAGATGTTATATAGAAACTGCAAATATAAAATAATTTATTCTTATGTTAGACCAATAAATAAGACTGTTTTTCTTATCACGATATCACAAAGCTGATAAATTAATTGCAGCTTTAAAATTGTCTTCTTTATCAAATCTTGCTCAAATGTAAAACCCAATTTGATTATCACGTTAATACGATCTTTTTATATTTTTTCTTGATTAAAATTGCAATTAAAGGAATGATTATCCTACTTTATCATAATTATCTATTAATATCATTTTGGGTATTTTTTCTGGGTTTTGGTATCAATTTGATGACCATCAATCAAATGAGTAATTTCATTTATGATGGCAAACGGATACCTGTTTTTTTTTTGTCATGGGAAAATCATCCAATGACTTGTCCCGCCCAGGGTAAGGCGAGAGAGAGTGTCAGATTCGCTTGCGCTTACCCCGCAGCCCCGGCATCAGCCCTATTGGGCCCCGACTGTGGTGGTCTATTGGCTCTTCGAGGCGCCCGCGGGAACGCTAGGCGCCGTACGCTCGGGTCCGGTTCCGGTCGGGCGGCGAGCTACCCTTACTCGCCGTCCGCAGACCCGCGCTTACGGCGGCCGGAGATCATCTCTCGATCCCCACGTCCGGAATGTCACCTCCTGCGGCGGTTGGAGCGCGAGGAGGAAAGTTCCCTCACGCGCTCCGCCTCCTCCTTTGCGAGCATAACTGCTTCGCAGAAGGAGATAGCTTCCCAGTTCCTCTCACTCCGCACCATGGCCTCGATTAAGACCGGGTGCGAGAGGTCGCCGCCGCCGATCACTTCCCTGAGAACACGGCAGTGCTCAGCCCAAGCAGGGCACTCCGCCACCGTGTGCTCCACCATGTCCTCCAGGTGATCCTCACAATGACGACACTCGGGCGTTTCCTCCCGCTGGATCCGAAACAGGAACCTACCGAAGCTGCCGTGCCTGTTAAGCACCTGCGTCAGGCGGAAGGTGAGGACGCCGTGGCGTCTCTCAAGCCACTCCTCAAAGAGGGGTCTTACTGCTGCTATAACAGCGTGCCCAGCCCTCGGTTGCAACAGTCGCTACTTCCACTCAGCCATGAGAGGCAAACAGATACCTGTACATGCCATTAAAGGTGATAATAATTTTAGTCTAAAAGAACCAGTAACGTCTGCTACTGTGGTTGTATTCAACATTGTTTTTTCGATTGTATTAAAAATTTTTACTGTTTTTGACCCTTTTTTTTTTGTCAGGGGAAAATCGTCCAAGGACTTCTCCCGCCCAGGGTAAGGCGAGAGAGAGTGTCAGACTCTTACTGACTAAAAACCCCCCCGTTCCTTCTCCTGCTGTGGGCCGAGGTCGCGGTGCCTCATTGCGCTTACCCCGCAGCCCCGGCTAAACTGTTTTTGACCCTAACGTGCCGGCTCGAGCGGGGATGTGAAAAGTTTTTTTTTCATAGAGTCATCCAGGGTCAAATAGTGGAAGAATAAGAGTTTTATGTACCTTGATGGTTTATTTCAACACAATCGATTATGCCATAATATTAAAGATTAGGTCTAGTATTAGAAATAGACGCCGCTTTGTTGAAAGGCGACGCTATGCGTTTCGAAGTGTTGTACGACTAAGCCTAATCTAGGATTGTACTATTGTGAACAGTCAATTACAAGGGTGAATTAAAAAAGCTGAAGAAATACAAATAATTTCCCACGTGTACCAAAAAATATTCATTGTTTCCCTGTAGGTGCTGTGGAAAGACCCCTTCTCACACGAAAAACTTAATATGTGCATTAATATCCACGCGTACTCAAAGTGGAATGATGATTTCAAACTTGTAATAAGATAATTTTTTACTTATTTAAAACGGTAGCCGCAGTAAGTGATGATGCCTACGACGCAGTAAGCCTATCCATAATCAACCCATTCGGGCCTTGAAGACATTCAGCTTATAACCTTCAGGAAACACAGACTTCGGCACATAATGCCACACCATAGCAGTTCTGGTGAAAAAACTAGAGGCAGGACACTTCGTGCGTGGATTATCCACTGTGAAGTAGTGGAAGTGGCGCATCGTTGTTGATGAGTCCATTCTCGCGCCTCTCGATGTGTTCTAGTGCATCGTACGTCTATATAATATAGTCCAGGTTTCCTCAGGTTTTGGGGACATCATGATAGTTACCGAATAGTATAGATACAATTACTTGTTATTATTATGTGAAAGAAAGAACCTAAAATAACAAATCTAGAATCAACTATCCACTACCAAACAGTTTTTGAGTATTGCTATACATATGTATACCTAATGCGTACATACATACATACATACACATCATTACAATCTCATAATCAGCAGTCCATTCATAAAACGAACTTCGTAGTCAGTGATATAAATCTAAATGAGATAGTTGTTCATGAATTAAAATTATTTACTGATTTGGTAAATTATGATAATGCTTTTGAAGCGGTTTCAATATATTGGGATCAACGTATCAATCAATAGGTATCGTATGCGTTATATGATGATACGATATCGAAAGTATCCAAAAATAGATATGGCGTGCATCTAAAACTTTTTCTGAGTAGAAGCAAAACAGAAACAATTTTTAGCTAAGTGAGCTGTGCTATCTGTGATAAATTGGTAGTCAAATATCATCATAATCTGCCATTCATCACAATCTAACGATGTCGTTGTGATGTTCTACCTACAAATAAGGAACTTCTAGAACTATGAACAACCTTTTTGGAATAAAAGAGTCAAACTGTCAAACAGGTAGTTTCTGGTTTCTCGTCTTTGTTAATTTCTCGCAAGCGATAACTTTGGTGTTGCCGCTTCGCTATAGTTGGGATAAGTGATCTGCGCATATTTTAAGGTCCGCCCAAATCCTAAGTTGATTTGACCTTGATTTCTTTGAAGGTTGCCATAAAGTTGGATGTTATGACGTATGCATCCGCTAAAAAATGATTTTGATAAATTCCTGTTTCAAGGGGATGAAAGTTTGAATAAATATTCTTAGATATTTGACTACTTAATTGAAATGTACTGATTAGAGCTGATATGATGAAGATGTTTGCATAAGTGTGGAAGTGGCTCTTCCTGCTGCTTCGGGATTAAGGTTTCGTAGATTTAAGGATTAGGGAGGGATGGGGAAATGTTGAAATTGGCCTCCGGTATTTGCACTCACGCCATTTTTCTGTGAGGCTGTGGCATCACTCTGGTCTAGCCGATCCATTCGTGCTGAAAATTGACTTTTTACACATATTGTTTTATAACTTTTCGCATGTATTGTGTTTTCTTGTCATGTACCCAACACGAGAATAACCCACACATGCGAAAAGAAAAAATATGTATGTATGTATTTTGATGTATTGAAAATCAAAGGAATAATAATAATATCAGCAATGATAATCCTTACATTATCATTAATGTGGGTTTTACTATGTTTTTAATAACGATAAACAGATAATGTATGTTGAAATAGACTATAAATACTCAGCGCAGTAAAACATTGCATTCATTACGTACTGGCAACATGAAAGTCCTAGCAGTGACTCTATTGGCTCTAGTGGCGCTCGCCACCGCGAGAAACATTGACCTCGAAGATGTGATCGAGCTTGAAATGATCACCGCATATGATTACCACAACAAGATTGGTAAGGGTTTGGCTGAGGAGATTCGTGCAGCTGAGCAGGAATCATCAAGAATTGCTGGAGGCTCAACTGCCAATCTCGGACAGTTCCCTTACCAGGTAATAATTTTAAAATACTAATTTTAGAATAAAATACCAATGCAAATCATGCTCCAAGAAATACTTATGAAATTTAATTTCAGGCTGGTCTTATTGCTGACATGGGCTCTTGGGAGAGTGTTTGCGGTGGTTCTCTTCTGAACTCACGAAGAGTCCTTACTGCTGCTCACTGCTGGAATGATGGTCAGAACCAGGCTAGAAGATTCACAGTCGTTCTTGGGTCAGTCCGTTTATTTAGCGGTGGCACCAGGTTGAGTACTACTAGCGTAGCTATGCATGGAAGCTGGAATCCAACCTTTGTACGTAATGACATCGCCATGATCACTTTACCCTCTGCCGTCTCTACATCAAGTGAGTAATATCGAGCACCATGGTTTACGTTTTCTGTTTCAAAACATTTAAGAAGGACGTACTAATGAACTGTATGTTTTTTGCAGGCAACATTGGTTTCATCGCTCTGCCCTCTGGTAACGAGCTCAACAACCAATTCGCTGGCTCTACTGCTACTGCATCTGGATTCGGTATCAACAGGGATGGTAAAATATTTTCTTTGTTAATGCCCATAAATATCAATTCTACTTCACAAACATAATGCATAAGTACAAGTCACAAGTTGAATAGGAGCTTGTGCAAAATTTTTGTCTTTAATAAACTGTACTAATCATTCTAGGCGGAGCTGTCAGTGGATCTTTATTCCACGTCAACTTGCCCGTCATCACCAACGCTGTGTGCCGCAACACCTTCCTTCTTATTCAATCTTCTAACATTTGCACCAGTGGTGCGAATGGCAGAAGCACTTGCCGCGGTGACTCCGGTGGCCCTCTTGTAGTCACCAGCGGTGGCAGGCGTATCTTGGTTCGTATATTTCTTTACAGCAATTTTATTATTATCTGAGTTGTAGTGCACGTATGAAACAAAGCCCATGTGGTCAGTTTCTTTTGAAATTCAATTACCAGGGAAACGGTGCTATATCATTATTATTGGTCTATTTGTGCATATTTTGCAACACCACATGTTTTATTTTTCAAGTTCATTTCCATGTTTTTATGCACGCTTTTTTTCTCTACAGATTGGTGTGACCTCCTTCGGACATATCGATGGCTGCACGCGTGGACACCCAGCTGCCTTCGCTAGAGTCACCTCTTACATCAGCTGGATCAACCAACGTCTCTAAATCTTTCGAAAATACGACTTCATACAAAAGATAACTTTAAGACAAATGTGACTATTTAAAAAAATATCTCTTTTATTTCGTTTCCCTAATAATATCAACAATATACCAAAGTTGGTCTGTTCGCCAATGAAGATAGTTTAAATTCGAATGGAGACGAACGAGCAAAAATCAATTGATACTCTAAAAAAGACATGATAACAACGAATAAATTTTAAATGTTATACCGCATCGAACATAGCGCTGGCACACGCATACTGAGGAGCAATCTGAAATTATGCTACACATGCTTCGTATTAATAAGAAAAAAAAAAATATGCCATTATCGATTCAAAGTATGTATTCATAAATTTTTAGAATATTTATGTAACAACTGACTATATAATATAATATGAGTATTGTCCATTGGTATCTTTGACGAGAATACCCGACTGAGTTTCCTATACGCTGCCCAGCCAAGCTGTATCCTTCGACGAACCTCTCTCTCGAAGTTGTTTCTACCGAACTGGATAGTTTGTCCGAGGTAGATGTTCTCTTGAACAACCTCGAGAGGAGATCCATTGATGGTGATCGGCTCCGGGATGTGAAGAGCTGAACATCGAGCTCAGTGGCGTGCAATTGGGGAGGCCTATGTCCAGCAGTGGACGACAACAGGCTGATGATGATTGTCCAGTGGAGACAGGTGTCCGAACTAATATGATGTCAAGTATTCTTATCCTAAATTTCATTCGACAGTTTGTAGTATCAGATTTGATCCTAATATGAGTTTTAAATTTCGTTTCGTTAAAACTTATTTTCAAACTACTATGTATTCTATAAACATAATACAACATAGCCCCAAGAAGCATTTTTATACCATGGATAGTCGGAGTGGTGATATTACCAGTCTATTGTTCCTTATACTATGTATTATATTTATTTCTATCGCATCATTTTTTTATATTGTAAATGTTTAGTCATGTAAAAATATTTTCTATTTAAATTGACAAAATACCGTTTCGATATTTATCGATATAAATATTTCTCACAGAGATTCGCGATGGGGCAAGTTTCATATTGTTCGAATAAACCGCTTGTGCAGACTCAATGTTGATTCGGCTTCCAGAGCTCAACCCCAAAGTAAGATACCGACCAAATGCTATACAAGTAATTAAAATAAACCAATTTTGATGTATTTATGTCTGCGAGTAGTCTAATCGAACTACAAAAGCCGCTGCGATTCATCTCGCCAAATGCGTATACATATATTATATGTGAGAATCCCATTGAAACCTATTGTCTAATGCGATACCTTATAGTTGACAACTTTCACTTTTATCCGTCTAAAATTACGTCGCAATTTCTACTTTGTACATTTGGCAAGCTCTCTCTCTCTCTCTTCTAAGCATTATTAGTTAACTTTAAAGAATTATCTCGTTTAAATAGAACAAAAATAGCACTCAGGTTTTTCTTTTACATACCTTCATTCAGTAAAAATGTTATGTAGTTGGTTGTGAATGTGGGATTCACAACTAAATCTTCAAGAAAAAAGCTAGAATTTTTTTTGGAGCAAGTAACAAGGACTTATTGATAAAGAACCACTAATATTAATATTATTAAGATGGATGTTTAATTGTATTGCTTCCATCAACCGTACGTAAACTTGAGTATTTTAATTTTTGAAGGTGTATCTAAGTTTTTAATACGCCTGGCAGTAATGTACACAGTATATTTCTACCGCTGAGACGACTTACAGATTATCATTGGAAATATGGATTTTATCGAATAGGGACCTAGGTACACCTTACTTCTTATCAAGAAATCTTAGCTTAAAAGATATGAGCAGTTTTCTTACATCGGTGATATTAGATCTAAAAGTTTAGAAAATTAGATCTAAGAGAAAAACTCTAATAGTTACAGGAGACTAAAAGACTGATGTTAAGCAACGTCGTCGCGACTTCTTCTTTATCATAGGTCGGTAAACGAGCAGGCGGTTTACTCCCCTTAACACCAGGGGAGTTACGAGTACGTTGCCGACCTTTTTGGGATTAGGATTTCAGAGATTGATTAATTGGACCTTTTCTGTGTGATCGGTCGGCAAAGGAGCAGACGGATTACCTGATGGTAAGCAACCAGCGCCACCTATGGACACCCACATTAACAAAGGAGTCACGAGTGCGTTGCCGAGCTTTTGGGGATAAGGGATTTGGGTATTTAGGGATTGAGGAGGGATTGGGGAAGTGAAAGGATTGAGCCTCCAGTAACCTCACTCACACGGCGAAACCCAGCGCTGTGGTTGTTTCACGCCGGTTGTCTGTGAGGCATTGGTCTCCTACACTTTAGACTCCCACGACACAGTAAATCCTGTCCAACACAGTGAGTCCCGTCATGACTTGAAACTCGTAAGTCCAGTTCAGTTCCAGTAAGTAAGATTGATCATATTCTGAGTCGTAGAGAAGTCGTGCAGAGCCGAGCACTGCCGGAGTAAAAAAATTACAGCAAGAAGTTGCATGTATTTATATATAACTAATAAATGATTGATTTGGTTTTAAGAGCCTTAAAATAATTAAGTCAAATTAAGATATTTATCAGTGGATTATGATAGCAATGTTTCTCAAAAATGGTAGTCTATTTACGTAACGCTGTATTTCCCAGTTTTGTCACTATGGGACAATTGGGTATAGTGCACACGTCCCGAACTATATACATATATATGTGTGTATACCTATTTTAAGTGTATCTTGTAGTTTTGCATTGATATTTTACAATAAAACTATATTATTTTTCTAATACACTAGCTACTCTCGCGCGGTTTCACCCGTCTCTCGGCTTCATTTGATCGTAGCGTGATGTTTTATAGCCTATAGCACTCAAGAACAGTGTAGCTTTCAGTGAAGAATTTTGGCAATCCGGTTCCAAAGATTACCCCCTACATACAATCTTACAAACATACAAAATAATAAATACCTTTTTATAATATTAGTAAAGATGTGCGCGTTTTAAGGTACCCTTTTTGTTCTAAAATATTTTGTCCTCGAATATTTAGTGATTTTCTGGTCATCTCTCAAACATAAAAATGCCTTTTTTATGATAGTGATCAAAAACTTGGCTAAAATAAAATAATTGCTACCCTTATCAGAGAGAATAGATATATGATTCCCGTTATTTCTCTTACCCACTCTTATTACCTGGTTAATACAATTAAATGAAAAGTAAGGAAAAATAAGGGCTATCTATTTATAAACCTCGTAATTTCATGTTATTATATTATTCAAGATAGTTAATCGTAGTTAAATAAAAAAGATGTACTTTTTTGTGAGAAGAAAATCATCAAATTACTTCTCTTGCTAAGGGTGAGGCGAGATAGAGTTTAAGACTTTTACTGACTGAAAACCCCCCTACTTTCTCTTGTTCTGGGTGGTGTCTTGTTGCGCTTGCGCCGCAACCCCTGCTAAAAAGCCCTAATAGGTTTGTGGTGGTCTATTAGCTCATAAAGGGGCTCGCGGAACCTAAAGCGCCTTTTCGCTCAGGTCTGGTTCTGGTCGGGCGGCGAGCTACCCTTACTCGCCGTCTGCAGACCCGTGCTCTTAATCCCCGACGACGCCCGGAGTGTCGCTATCTGCGGCGGCTGGGAGTTCAAATGGATTGAATAGTGAATGAAATTAGTATCAGCATCGCATTTGTGCGAAGCCGGGGCGGGACCATAGTAAATAATTATACAAACTTATAGGGAAGGTATATGGCATTTACGTGTATGCCGTATTTTACATTTTACATGTAAGGTACTTTTGGTTTTATAATAAGTGGACATACCTCCTACGGAGTAACGTCACTGGAAAATACAATTAATTATCAAAACAATTAATGTATTGCAAGTCATAATCGACCGATATTACAACATCATATTTTTTTTTTGTAACACTTGATTTAACAACATAGAATTATATATTTTTTCTAAATAAGATGCAAAGGTTTTTATTCATTTACTTCACGTCTTTAAACCCTGCCATTTAGGTATGAAGTAAAATGGTCCTGTCAGTAAGGTACCCAATATTCCATATTCCAATATCGGCATAATATGTTGGACACCTTGTAAAACCGATTTGGTTTGTATCAATAAATTATTACCTTTCAGGACCCTTTTACTCCATACCTAAATGAAAGGGTTTAAAGACGTGAAGTAAATGGAAAAAAATCATGATGGGTGTTCCGCAGGGTTCTATTCTCCGCCCGTTTTTATTTCGTATCTATATATACAAAAGACTTGCCTTGCTTCGTAAGGGATAACCACGAGATAGTTATATTTACTGGTAATATTGTATATTAGCTATATAATATTAGCCAGAAGTAAGCCCGCGGGTAGTTATCTAAAGAAATTAAAATAAAAGTATTTTAATTTCTTTTAAAGTAAATAGCACTTAGGATTCTAATATGTTTTTGAAAGTGATATTGAAGCACATAAAAACTTAATATTATTAACAGTATATATAATACATATATTAATATATACATATATGGTGATTAAAATAATAAGATAAGATTAACATAACAAATAAGGGTGGAGAAAATATGTTATGTGGGTACACCCATCTCTAGTCTTCAAAAAATAAGAACAATGGAAAAAAATCATGATATTTACAATATTTGAACAGTGTAAGCACCGTATCTGACTATGACAGGTTGAGTGTTTGTATGACTCACCGAAATGTTCTTTTGGGTAGAATATACATATATCCTTGGACAATTCCTAGAACTGACACTTGCCTGACATCAAAACAGACCCTCTCAAGCTAGTGTAGCTCTTTCCTCTAAAGACCGCTAAAAATTAAATTGCATGGTACTCCTACATCATTTTATACATATTTTTTCTGAACTGTCCAGGATTGGCCAGTTTAGTTCAAGGTTATTCGGATAGGAAATTCGTCATTTAGATTAAGTTTTGTATAACATGGAGAAAGAAGAAAGAAAAGAAAAGAAAGAAAACTGTTTTTATTCAGACCGAGACAGGAAGGCCAAAAACAAAAAAAAATACACAACAAGAATAAAAAAAATACAATAAAAATTTTGAATAGCAGGGCAACAAAATAAAATAAAAATAAAATTAATCAAAACAATAACGCTAACAAAGTTACAATAATACAACCCTAGGATGGCGGACATGCCCAATCCGAATGGGTCGCCAACTCAGGAAAAGCTGGGCACAAAGCACCCAACACTGATTTTCAGTTGGCACCCCTGCAGTGACGCACGGACGAATGCAACACATACTATCTACGAGTACGTATCTTAATCTAAATCATGGAAGTCTAAAATGCTGTTTCTAACTATGTCAAAAAATAAAACCTTTATTTCATTAATATTAGGTTCTTTTAGAGCAAAAGGTTCTATGACAGCTCTCACAGATTGTATTGTAAAGTCAGTATATAATTGGCGGCTTAGAGGCTCATATTATTTGTTCTATCTACTGTGCTACCAGGCAACACAGCTTTGCCGATGAATAAAAGTGATGCACCGTCCTTATTACAATTTACGCCTCTCGTTTACATTTCTATTTTATTTGAAAGAACCACACCTCGGTGGAGCGGGATGGCTCGACCGAAGAGATGTCATGGTCTTGCAAAGCATGAAACAACGCTTGCTTTGTTTTCTGCCATGTGACTGTCCAGAGGTTATGACATATCTACTCATTCCTAACTGTCAAAACCCTAGTCATTAAATCCTCCTCAAACCCTCAAAAGACCGGCCACGGACTTGTAACTGTTCAGATGTTACGGGCATCCATAGGTAGCACCGATTGTTTCCTGTTAGATAATCCGTCACTAATTGTTTACTGACTTATTTCATAAAATAAAACTTTCCGATTTTTTTTTATAATCCTCTGATAGTTGAATTATTTTTGTTCATTATCTAACAGATATCCCTTAATGATAATTAATGATATAAATACTGAAAAAAAACGGAACATCTGCATTCTATTCACCGACAGTATGAAGGTTCTGGCTGTAATTTGGTTGTCTCTGGCGGCCCTTGCTTCCGCGAGGAACATTGGCCTTGAGGATGTGATCGATCTTGAAAAGATTACATCCTACAATTATTTCAATAAAATCGGAATTGCACTGGCTGAAAAAATTCGCAAAGCTGAAGAGGAAGCCGAACAAAACCCATCCAGAATTGCCGGAGGATCTGCTGCTAGTCTTGGACAATTCCCCTACCAGGTACTGATATTAGTTTTATTTTATCTGCTACACAATTATAATAAAATATATATTTTAATTATTTACCTGGCCAAAGGTTTTCGGTTGTTGATGTATTTACTTAATGTCAATATGTATCCATTTTCAAAAAAAATACTGTATTTTTTATTACCTACAATTATATTGTAAATATAATATTTATTATATTTATATTCTACAATTGTATGCAGGCTGGTCTCCTTGTTGAAGTACCAGGAGGTACAGGTACTTGTGGAGGATCATTGCTCAACTCTAGAAGAGTACTTACTGCAGCTCACTGCTGGAATGATGGTCAAACCCAAGCCAGAAGGTTTACAGTTGTTCTTGGCTCAGTTCGTTTGTTCAGTGGTGGTGTCAGGTTGGCTACCACTAGCGTCGCCATGCACGGTAGCTGGAATCCTAGTCTCGCTCGCAATGACATTGCAATGATCACTTTGCCTTCTGCTGTCTCTACTTCAAGTAAGTTATTAAGAAATATTATTTTAGAACATATTCATTCAACTTATTTTATACTAATTTTTAAACTTTCGCGTTTCATATTTAAATACCTTTTTTTTGTGAGGGGAAAATCATCAAATGACTTCTCCCACCCAGGGCCGGGCGGGAGGGAGTGTCAGACTCTTACTGACTAAAAACCCCCCTGTTCCTTCTCCTGCTCTGGGTCGAAGTCGCGGTGCCTCATTGCACTTACCCCGCAACCCCGGCTGGACATCAGCCCTTTAGGGCCCCGTCTGTGATATTTAAATATCTTGGAACTTATTTAACACACATTAGGTACTCCAAAACAATGGCACCAAACTGGATATATCTTTTGGTTACGTGCAATAACAGAAATTATGTGTATTTCCAATAAACTAGTGCTCTAACTTAGGCACGAAAAATGTTATAGCAGGTAAAACAAATTGATGATAGAATGTTGATATCTACATTTTGTGTCATTCTTAAAATTTTCCAGCCGACTCAGCCAGTATTACATATAGGTATGTGAGTCTTGCCGAGCAGTGAGATTGAAATACATTTTGTTGACAGGTAGCATTGGTTTCATCGCTTTGCCATCCGGTAGTGAACTGAACAATCAGTTTGCTGGATTTACCGCCACAGCCTCCGGCTTCGGTCTCACTAGAGATGGTAAGAACATAAAAATGATTCTTGTAGATATTTAACAAATTCGTTTTTTATGTGATAAGACGGCAAATGAGCAGACGGATTACCTGATGGTAAGCAATCAGTGCCGCCCATGGACATCCGCAACACCGGAAGAGTTACGAGTGCGTTGCCGACCTTTTGGGGATTTAGAGATTGGGGAAGGGGTAGACTACTAGAAAGGATTGGGCCACACTTACACGGCGAAACCCAATGCTGTGGTTGTTTCACGCTGGTTTTCTGTGAGGCAGTGGAAGACCTGTCGAGCCGACTCATTTGTGCTGAAGCATGGCTCTCCCACACTTAAGAAATTAAGTTAGTAAGTAAAGTAAGTTAAAACTAATTTTTAGCTCAACTGGCAAGTAAAAATTTATATTTCAGGTGGAAGTGTCAGCGGTGCCTTGAACCACGTGAACGTGCCTGTGATTACAAATGCTGTATGCCGCAACACCTTCCCTATCTTCATTCAGTCGTCGCATGTTTGCATCAGCGGTGCTGGCGGCAGAAGCACTTGCCGCGGTGACTCCGGTGGTCCTCTTGTAGTCAACAGCGGTGGCAGGCGTATCTTGGTATTCAGAATTATATTTTTTTTTAATGTTATAGGACGGCAAAGTTGCGTAGGGATTACTTGATGGTAAGCAATCAATGCCGCCCACGGACACCCGCAACATCAGAGGAGTCAAGAGTCCGTGGCCAACCTTATAGGATTAGGGATTTGGAGATTTTGGGATTGGAGGAGGGGAAGAATCCAGCCTCTGGTAACCTCACTCACATGGCGAAACCGTGCCGTGGTTCTTTCACGCTGGTTTGCAGTGAGGCTATTTTATCACTTCGGTCGAGCTTGCATTGCTCTCCCACATTGCTTTCAACCAATAATATACATACAGAGGCAAAAGAGTTATTCATATGTTATCTTTCTGGTTATATTGCATCAAATAAGTAATGTGTTTTACCTCTTTTTTTCAGATTGGTGTTACCTCCTTTGGACACATTGATGGCTGTACCCGTGGTCATCCCGCTGTCTTCGCTAGAGTCACATCCTACGTTAGCTGGATCAATCAACGCCTTTAAGTGTTTCTCTTTTTCCAAATCAATTTGATTAGATGATATGATATCGTTATTGTTAAAGACAAGTGAATAATAAATATTGTTTTTGCATTTTAAAATTACTTTTAATATCATAAAATACAGCATCTACTTCCACCTATGCTTAAAAAATATTGTTTGGCAAAAAGTTACTGTAAATACAAGAAAGAGAGTAGTCGTCAAATGTCAATACAATAGGATCAATCAAGCCAACCTTATCACAGCACGTTGTATGTACAAACCTTCTCTGGACTCTAACGAATAATTTAAGACCAAAATTGGCCAAATCTGTAAAGGCATTGTTAAGTTATCGTGGTTACACTATTACAACGAAAAGTGGCATTGATTTTTATATACACATATAATAATAGATCATTATAAATTACGCAAAGTTTCAAAACTATCCTTACTCGTTGAATAATATTGTGCAATATTTGTGTTGGTAAGATAAACACGGAATATCTTTTTTTTCTTTAACAGCTTCAGCCAAAACTGAGCTATTTTATGTAGGTATGTTGGTTTAACTTAGCTTTAAAGAGAGATGGTTGTATTCTAAATGTGACTGCCTCGTTAAGTCGAGTCGCAAGCTTAAACATCGGAGTTGAGCAAAGTACTATTGATTTTTTACGGTTTTTATTATAAAAATTTCTTGTAAATAGCACCGTGTATTGTATTGTGCTTGGCAATAAGTTAATGCTTACCTCATACTACATGAGAGTTATACAGGTCTGGTATGTTAGTGTACGTATAATAGTATATGTTACATTTTATATAATAACAAACTTCCGCCCGCGTATCAAAGTATTCTATAACGGATTTTAAAAACACCAGTGCCTAAAGCAATATTTGGGATACGTAAAAAAATTGAAGTGGAAGTATAATTCGTAACCTATTTTACTTAAGAACATTGTAGTGAAACTTGTAGTATCAGCGAAAGAATTTTGGAAATCCGACCTGCGGTTCCAAAGCTTAACCCCTACGTACTATAAGTTACAGATTGAAAACTTCTTTATAATAATTATAAATTTCTACAAAAGATGAAAAGTGTGGGAGAGCCATGCTTCGGCACGAATGGGTCGGCTCGACCGGAGTGATACCACGGCCTCACAGAAGACCGGCGTGAAACAACCACAGCGTTGTGTTTCACCGTGTGAGTGAGGTTACCAGAGGCCCAATCCTTCCCCACCCCAATCCCTCCTCAATCCCTAAATCTCCAAATCCCTAATCCCTAAAAGGTCGCAACGCACTCGTAACTCCTCCGTTGCGGGTGTCCATAGGCGGCGCTGATTGCTTACCATCAGGAAATCCGTCTGCTCGTTTGCCGACCAATTAAATAAAAAAGAAGATTTAATTTGTAGGATACAAAATTGAATAGGAAATACACAGATTTATAATATTTTGTTGGTTTGTTGTATTTTGCTGATTACTAAAATTCCCTTCAAGCATTTTACTATAACCCTATCGTAATTCCTTAAAAGGAGACACTGATAATAACTATTATTTTATTTATTTTTTGAATATATATTTAATTTTTAATTAATTATACATATATTTTATATAAAAAATAAATTTAATTATTTGTTATTATATTTTTAGTACGTTCATGCATGGCCATCCGTAAAAGGAAAGCTTAATAACTAAACGGCCCATACTCACAGTATTATTATCTTGCTGCATGGCATCGCAATTTGTGCACGTGTTCTTAGCGTTATTTCATGTATTCAAACTGATTTCTATGTTTATTTTTATTGAATTTGTATTAATCTAAACTTTTTTAATTTGGGATGAGTGAGAATATTATAAACATAAGAGAAAACTAATATAATCAGTATGCTCGGAACTGCTAAGCTATCAGGAGTTGCACGTGTTACTATGAGTCAACCATAAAAGAGAGACATATGCAGTGTAATATTTTTAGATAATTTTATGTATAACATTTTCGTGATACATGACATATGTAACTTTACCATTACGGCTGCACAAGCCACGGAAGCTTTAAATTTTGAGTTACTTTTCCCGTTTTCCCAACATTTACGTTCACTGCTCTGCTCCTATTAATAATTGTAGCGTGATGAAAAGTATCATATAACCTGCCCAGGAATATGAAGAAGTGGTTGACCCAAATAAAGCCTATGTCCTAATAAAGCCTATTTTTTAAATTTCCCGCTTCACGGTTTCAAATGGCCGCCAATGTTTGTGGATGTGTGCGTGAACATTAACTTACACCTACAAGCACAGCAAGTGGCCCGTGCCGCGAGCGTGTTGGAACCTGCAGTCGAAAACAACTACGACGCGGAGCGCACGCCTGTTTTTATAAAATTCTGGCAGCGTAAACAGTAAGTATTTTTATTTTTATTTGTACACAGTGTGGTGTGTTTTGTCTACAGGATAATTTTACGTGTAGCCATCTCCTCACATAAGTGAAAAAGCTGTAATATCTATGTATTCCATATAATTGTTGTTTTGTTTACCCATGTGCCGTGCCCTAATAAAGCCTACAAAAAAAATGTATAGGCCTTATAACGGCACAGTTACAGGCCTTATTAGGACAATGTTTTATGTCAATTAGAAAAGTATCACAGTAAAATAATAAACCCTTGTTTTCAGTAACATCATGGAAAACGAATCACCAGCTTCTAGCACAAGGAAAAAAAGGGCTCAATGGACTTCATAACAGATGGAAAACGCTGTTAAAATGGTAGAAAGAGGTATATTATCTACATATGCTGCTGCGGCCAGATACAAAATCCCAAGAAGAACCCTACGTAACCATTTAGCGAGTGGGTCGACTACACGAAAGCTAGGTCGGTCGGCTATATTGACTACAGAACAAGAAGCTGGACTTGTCAGAAGAATCATACGTTTGGCTGATGTTGGAATGCCGTTGACATCAAAGATGTTGCGCGTACAGGCTTTTTCATTTTGTAAAGTTAAGAAAATTCCAAACACTTTCAATGATGCCAAAAACGTCGCGGGGAAGAAATGGTTGAGGCTATTTCTTAAACGACACCCAGAAATAGCACGTCGTAAAGCGCAGATGATGAATCCAGCTCGTGCTCAAAAATTAAATAAAGATATTGTTAGCGATCACTTTTCCAAATACAAAAGTGTGCTGGATAGACTTGGAATTGAACATAAACCTGAAAGTATTTACAACATCGATGAAAAAAATTGTCGCATATCTTTGCACCATCAGCAGGAAGTTCTGACAGCCAAAGGGAGAAAAAGAGTTCATCAAATAGCGAATGAGCATGCTGAAAGTGTGACTGTAGTTGGCTGCGGAAATGCTATAGGATCAGCTATTCCACCAATGATATTAGGCTAAAGCCAGAATTCCAAGACAATTTACCTCCAGGCTCTCTGGTGAAGATGACACCAAAGGGAAGTATGACGACAGAAACTTTCATAGAGTTTATTAATCATTTGCATAAATACAGAACCTCAGGGCCATGTCTCCTCATATTTGATGGTGCAAAATGCCACCTGGACTTTACTATTGTCGAGGAAGCTGAGAAATGTGGCATCACTTTATATTGCCTTCCATCAAATACCACGCACGAGTTACAGCCCATGGATAAATCTGTTTATCGTTCCTTTGAGCACCATTGGGACCAAGAATTGATTAAATACGTCAGTCAGCATCCCGAACGAACCCTTAACAAAACAAGCTTCAATGTCATTCTCTCACAAGTATGGCCAAAATGTATGACTATTACCAATATCTCGAATGGGTTTCGCGCCACAGGGTTATATCCATATAACCCAGATGCTATTCCTGAAGAAGCGTTTGCGCCCTCTGCATTGTCAGAACTTCCGAATCCTACAAACCGTGAGAATATTGCTGTCTTATCTGCTGAATCGGGGGAACAAGAGATTTCAACTGCAAATATGGAAGATTCAGATGGGTCAGGCACGGATACTGAGAATTTGCCACTGTCCTTGCTCTTAAAAAACAATCCGAATGCTGGTACTCCACAGAAGATAGACAATCAATCAACCACGTGTGAGATTCATGAATTTTTACCAACTCCTAAGTTTAAAGTTGTAGCGTCTGCTCCATGCAAAAAGTCTATGAATTACAGAGCTCAAGAAGTAACAAAAGATTTGTTTGGTGACAGGGCTACGAATTCAACATCACAGATTACTGTACCATCGTCAAGAGTAGAAGATGTTCCTAGCACTTCATCCATGACAAAGATTAACACAAAGACACCAAAATCAGCGTCAGTTACTGGCTGTACATCTGCACAACCTGCAGTTGCTGCAACGCGAAAGCAGACCTCAGTAAAGACTGCTTCCTTGGCAGCAGATAAGCTTACGGAATCTAAACCAAAACGTCACAATAGTAAACCTTCTTGGTACTGTCCAGCTTGTAAAGAAGAACGAGTTGATGATATGCGACAATGTCTTACTTGTGGCGTTTGGTATCATGAGGTGTGTGTTGGACTCATACCCGCTGATAAAATATTTTACTGTTCAGGAGATTGTTTAAAAAAAAAGATGAAAAAGGCTGATTAATATGGTACTTTTACATGATGAGAAACTCATTAAATCTAATCTAAAATGATCAAAAGTAATTAATGTGATCTCATTCGATTTAATATAAGTATTGACAACGTCTCGTATTCATTAAGAAGTTGAATGTTTACTTGTTTTTATTATGGCTTTATTAAGACACTGGGTTCCCAATAAGGCCGAAGTGACATTTTAGTTATTTGTGTTCACAAAAGAGTGATTTTTGTTTCTAAAGCAATTTTGTTTCATTTATTACAAAGTTTAATAAATAAATATAAGTATTTCAAATTACCAGTGCATTTTTATTATAAACCCGTTAGTTAGATAATAAAAAACTTAAGGTAGGCCTTATTTGGGTCACCTACCTAATAACTGTAATAAGTTTCGTTAAAATCTGTCGAGTAGTTTTTGTTTCTATAAGGAACATACAGACAACAGACAGACAGACAAAAATTTTACAGTTTGCATTTTTGGCATCAGTATCGATCACCTATCACCCCCTGATAGTTATTTTGAAAATATTTTTTATGTACAGAATTGACCTCGCTACAGATTTATCGTAAGTAATATTATTATAATAATATAATAATTATAATATTATATGTACAAAGCGCATGGAGAGCTTAAGGTCGACTATTGACAGACAGGTTTTGCATAACGCTACCATTGAACACTAGATGGCGCTGCTTATAAATGAAAATAATCCTGCAAAGCTTGAAAACTTTACATTGCAGAGGCACACAATACGGTTTTTAATCGTTAAAATAATAATTAAGAAACAATAATATATTTATATTCAAATACACATAAATTATGTTTATTTTCTTATTTCCGAGTACTTAATACAGCGCCATCTAAGCCAAGTCAAGCAAACCAATTAACAGGTGGCGTCAATAATAATTAATAGACAGTAATAAAAGTTATAAACTAAGACGCATTTTCGTATATATTTACAGTGCAATTGGTAGCTCAGATAAATAAAAATGATAGGATAACAAAGTAGTAGGGCACCGGTTCAATTCCAGTTAAGTTTTAGATTTAGGTTTTGAATAAAGGTTTTTAACCGACTTCAAAAAAGGAGGAGGTTCTCAATTCGACGCGTATTTTTTTTTTTTATGTATGTACACCGATTACTCGTAGACGCCTGGACCGATTTGCAAAATTCTTTTTTTATTCGATAGGGTATACTTGCCATTTGGTCCCATTATCATGAGATCAGGATCTGATGATGGAATCCTGGAGAAACCGAGGGGAACTTTCGAAAATTGTAGTGGCAAGTAGGTTTTTTGTATGATGTTTAAGTAGGCCTTTAACAGTGTTGTTAAAGGCCTTCGTCAAGTTGTAGTGTTACAACTTGACGAAGGTCGAAGTCGACCAGATGTTGGAGCTGGAAGACAGTCGAGGGATCTCCTTGACTATTTGGAGTAATTGCCTTGTGTTTGGGCTTGAATGATTCGTATTGGCGAGCACTTTGCATCAGGCTTGGTCGTTATTGTCATTAAGGGTCTGATGATGAGAACGAAGGACAGCTCAGGGAACTCCTGAACGGTTTACAGTAACTACTTCGTGTTTGAACTTAATTCATTTATATTGATGAAAAATTTGTACCTGTAGGTATGTATCATAGCAACTGAAGGTCTGCAGTTTACCTGATGATGGAGACAATTGACCGTCGCGGGAATTCTGGATGGAAACGAGAGACAGTCGAAAGAACTCCTAAACGATTCATAGCAGCTTCCTTGTGTTTGAGCTTAATTTATTCGTTTTGATGAGAACTTTACACCGTGATGGATTGTGACTGTCATTGGGGATCTGATGATGAAAACGAACGACAGTCTAGGGAACTCCTCAACGGTTTACAGTAGCTACCTCGTGTTTGGACTTAATTTATTTAAATTGTTAAGAACTTTCCCTCTCCTAGAGAGATGGCCTGTGTCCCAGTAGTGGGAACATTAAAATGGCTGATGATGATGGTGATGAGAACTTTTCCATTTCTTGGGATCTATATTTTTTAATCGAGTGGCTCCTTTCGTTGGCCTACACATAGCTACTTAAAAATATATACTATTCAATATGTTAATTTATATTTAAAATATTACTGTAGTTTACTTTCACTAAAAAGAAAAAAATAAAAAAAAACTACGTTTAAAAAAACCGACTTCAAAAACAAAAAAGTGTCAAATAAGTAATTAAAATTGATATTTTAATAGCACTCTTACGTACGCGAAGCTAATACTTTTAATATTAATAATAAAACACTATCAATTCTATGTGCTACCTATTCATAGGTTTGAAGTCGGTGTTTATTAAAAGTTTATTAAAAATTACGACTTACTCACGTGAATAAACTGAAAAGAGACGAGTCTTAGTGATCAGCAGTATTAGCGAGGCTTGGCTGTGCGACATCGACGACGCGCATGCAGCTCATGAATAAGAGTGAAAAATTGATTTTCATACTCATACTCGTCATATAAACATTTTATATGAAAATGTCTTTTTGTAACCATTAAAGACCTTTAAGGGATGAAACTGATAGGTCCTATAGTGTGATAAGAATTAATTTTTATCCGAATTTATAGGATTTTTTTTAATTAAACAAATAATTTATTGTGAAGAAAGTCTTTTAATTCCTTGGTCCATGGTACAGTAAATTGTTGTGCGTAAGAACATCCAAAATGTTTGTCACTTTTCAAAGACGTTGGTTGATCCAGCTGATGTAGGATGTAACTCTTGCGAAGGCCGCTGGGTGTCCACGCTGGCAACCATCTCTGTGTCCGAAGGAAGTCACACCGATCTGGAATTTAGAAAAGGTATTGAATGCCTTTGATAATCCACCACTAGACCAAACGCCTCCTCAGTGATGGTCGAATGAGCCAGTTAGAAGAATATCTACTGAATATTTTTTTTTACTAATAAGCCTTATAAGAATTCAATTTTTATAAATACTATTTTTCGGAACGTACCAAGATACGTCTGTTGTTGCTGTTCACAACAAGTGGGCCACCGGAATCACCCTGGCAAGTGCTTCTGCCATTAGCTCCGCTGGTGCATACATTGGAGGACTGGATATAGATAGGATAAGTGTTGCGGCACACTGCGTTCGTGATCACAGGCAAGTTGACGTGGCTCAAGGCACCGCTGACACTTCCACCTTAAAAATATTTTTCAATTTTTAATATAATCATCGAATACCGTATAACTTCAGAATTGCTTAATTTTTCTTACCATCTCTGGTGAGGCCGAAACCAGACGCGGTAGCAGTGGCACCAACAAACTGGTTGTTGAGCTCATTACCAGAGGGCAGGGCGATGAAACCGATATTACCTGTTAATAGAATTTGAATATGAAATTATTTTTATGAAACAGTTAATTGTTAATTGCTAGAAAATATAAATATTTATTTGTATTGTAAATATTATAAATGAATTTTATTTTTGTAATGTTTTTTCATTGTCTTCACATTTAGATCAGAGTACAACAAAGAAGCATATACATAGATGTTAGAAAATATACGCACCAGAAGTAGAAACAGCAGAAGGCAAGGTGATCATAGCGATGTCATTACGGACAAGGCTGGGATTCCAGCTTCCATGCATAGCTACACTAGACGTACTCAACCTAGTGCCACCGCTGTATAGGTGAACGGATCCAAGGACGACTGTAAACCTCCTGGCTTGGTTTTGACCATCATTCCAGCAGTGAGCAGCAGTAAGGACTCTTCGTGAGTTGAGGAGAGAACCACCGCAAACACCGGTTCTGCCTGCCAGTTCAATCACGAGACCAGCCTATAAAAAATAGATTTAAATTGAATTATGGTTTAGAGTTCGCATAACAGATCTGTATCAAAAGAAGCTATGACTCACCTGATAAGGGAATTGACCGAGTCTGGCGGTTGATCCTCCAACGATTCTGGATGGGTTCAAGGAAGCTTCTTCCTCAGCTTTGCGTATGGCCTCAGCCAAAGGTATTCCGACTTTGTTGAAATAGTCGTAGGCGGTGATGGATTCCAGGTCAATCACATCTTCTAGGTCGATGTGCCTCGCCGAGGAGACCGCTACCAGAGCCAATAGTGTCACAGCCAAGACTTTCATTTTGTCAATACTCGCAAATAAGTGCATTCTCTATTTTGCCAAGAGTATTTATACGTTTCTAGTCCGATAATGATAATAATCGCTCGTAGGCTGATTGTTCTATCACAGCATTAATCTTTATTAACAGACAAGACAAAAGTAAATCACTAATTAGTTACTTAATCACATAAAGGGTGTTTCTAACAAGTTATTTGTTTCAATATAACATACACCTATTTCATAACGTCATCGTTAAAAGAAAAATATATAATATATTCGACTATTTTATCTTGCTAAATTAAAGCTATAGGATTGCCTATTTATTAGTATCTCTTACTATTATTTATTTATGCTTTATTGTTTACAATGACATGAAGTTGGTACAAATGGATTTTTTCCATTATTTTTGCACACAGAATGAGCATCGCCCTGTAGGTAGATTAAAATAACTAGATGACTGATTAGATACAATTGTGTTAAATAATCCACGAATGTTTTTAAGCATTTATTAACATCACAAATAATAATATCCCGGGGACTGGTAAAAACCAAATAGTTATTTTCCACGATGGTATATTACAGATTAATTTTACGCACTTAATTTAATTGAAATGTAAATGAATAAAATAAAAATATAATTGAATTAAATTTAAAAATATAATCATAATATACACATATGCGCGGTTTTCAAATGAAAAACAAAACAATTAAAATAAATATTGCAAAATATTATGTAACACATTTTATCCGATTTAAGAGATATTTCAAATGGGATAGAATGGCAAATGATCACAAATCACAAGTAACAATTACCAATCTATTCGGTCTTTGGTGTGAGGAAATTAGGATACGGTAGCTTCACTTACAATTACTATGAAACAAAACGCAAGTGTTGTTAAAAGTCGATTTTATTGTGAGGCCTACTACACTAGTTGAGCCAGCCCAAATGAGCTACTGTCGTCGTCGTCTATCTGTTCTTTGTAGCACCAAAGGGCATATTTTGTTTTCAAAAAACTTTCATACATTGTGCGCAAATAGTTTCTGAAGTCAGTCGTGGTGGCCCGGAGGTTAAGGAGCCCGCTTCTCAAGCATGAGTGTGGGTTCGAAACCTGGCAAGTACCTACCAATGTGACTTGATGAGTTTCTGAAGAACCATCAACTAAAGGTAAATCTAAATAAATTGAGAAAATAATTGATTTATTTATTTTTTATGATATGAGTGCATTTTCCTTTTGGGGATTAGGGATTTGCGGATCGGGGATTTCGGAAATCGACTATAGGGGAAGAAGAAGATTGTGCTTTCGGTAATTTAACTCATATGGAAACACAATGCAAGCTTTATAATATATTTTCTGTGTGGCCTTGAGAACTGGCCCATTTGTGCCGAAGCACGGCTACCCCAAGTCTTATAAAAAATTTAAAATCATGATGAATTAAAGATTAAAATGATTTGATAGTCTTTATGATTTAACTTAATTACTTGATTAGGTATCTTGAAAAGAATACAATATCTTCGTTCTTAGGGTAAAACGATAAGTAGATAAATAAAAGTTAATGAAAATAATAACAAGAAGGGAGACAAGCAATGTGGACGAAAGAATATTTCTCTCAATATAGTTAATTTATTACTACCAGCAATTTTTTTTTTTTTGGCAGTGTCATTTTAACCATTCTACTAACGAGGCTGTGTTACATGCCGATTAGGTGTTTGGTTCAACTATTATTCTGTGTAAATTAGTAAAATAGTAGAGGACAGGAAACAGGGAAATAAAAAATGTGTAAATAATGTAAAGTGGAGATTTAGGTCGAGGCTATGGTGGGAAGCGAGAGCAACCAGGAATCCGTCTCCTCTTTCTGTGAAGCAGTTAGGTATGCTTGCAAAGAAGGAGGCGGACCGCGTGAGGAACTCTCCTCTTCCTCACGTCTCAGCCGCCGCAGTGGGCGACACTCCAGGTGTCGGAGATCAAGAGATGATCTCCGGCCACCGTAAGTACGGGTCTGCGGAAGGCGAGTTAGGGTACCTCACCGCCCGACCAAAACCAAACCGGAACGTACGGCGCGTAGCTTTCTGCGTCCGCTTCAAAGAGCCAATATACCACCACAGACGGGGCCCCACAGAGCTGATGTTCAGCCGAGATTGCGAGGTAAGCGCAATGTGGCACCGCGGCCTCGGCTCAAAACAGGAGAAGGAACGGGGGTTTTTTAGTCAGTAAGAGTCTGACACTCTCTGTCGCCTTACCCTGGGCGGGAGATGTCATTTGATGATTTTCCCCCGACAAAAAAAAAAGGCCCAACCTTCTTCTACCCCACACTTCTGATCCAAATTCCCAAGCCCCCAATCCTCAAATACTCCCAAAAAAACCGCCAACGCAGCTCTTATGACTTCTTGATGGAATTAACGTTGTACTTTCTAAGTATTAAAGCAGTTGCCTTAACTTCTGAACTACCAAGACAGTTTACCAACAGTGGTCATAAATAAACATTTATTATTTATTATTATTTTAGCGAAGTAGATAAGTAGGAAATCTATTAGCAAAAATGCTTTTCACAAGAGATTCAACAGCCTTTTACTTTATTTTTGTGTTGTTTATCAGACCTTTAGAAACCGCTTGTAATTTTTCGAAAATTAGGCGGAGTTACTGTGTGAGATGAGAAACAGGTCCCGGAAATCAGCAGCATCAAACGATTTTTCTCGGCTAGATTGGGGTGAGGGAGTCTCAGTCTCTTGCTGACTAAAATCCACCTTTTTCCTTCTCCTGCTCCTGGTCAAGGTCATGGTACATAATTGCGCTTGACCCACAATGTTGGCAGATGCAAAACAGGTTAAAAAGTAGTTTGGAATTCATTGAGCCTATGGTCAGGAGTGAATATCCTGTAGCATTAAAAAGCAATGCATGTAAATTGTTATAATGCTATAAACTTTTACAAATTTAAAATAATATGTATGTATATTCCTAGGCTTTTTTATAAATAGTTTTCAAATAATATATTGCATTTCATCACGCCTAAGTATAAATGGCAATATGATAACAACTAAATGATTTGGGTAACAGTAACGTAGGATGTTCTTTCGTTAGGTGAATAATAATGAATACAGACCAGAAGCTAGTTTACATAAGTTGACAAAATGTCACATGTTAATAACGATTTAGAGGTTTATTATAACATCACGTGTTATATTCCCTAAAAGATAAGACAGCGGTGTGTAGTAAGCCCATACAAAGGCAGTTCAAGCACTACCTAATAGATGGCGCTTAACACAATCTCGCAAGTTGCTAAGGTCATTTATAAGGGCTTTTAAAATGTTGGTAAAATTTAAAATGAGCTTTAAATTACTCGATTTTTTATGTATTTAAAAAAAAAACTAATTTATAACTAAAAAGTTTGATAATTTAATCTTAGGAGTGTTCATAGCAAATACTTACTATATGCTTGATAGAACTAGACCACTACAGCGAATGTTTTCAGCCAGGATTGCTGGTGAAAGTGCAATAATGGATTACGACCCTGTGCCAGAGTAGAAGGAATGAGGTTGTTTTTTGTCAGTAAGAGTTTCACTCTCCTTCTCGCTCCACCCAGGGCGGGAAAAGGAATTTGACGAATTTCCCCCTTAAAAAAATTGGGATAGCCAGGGCAAGCGCTATGTGTGCACAAAGGCACTCTTTTTGAGCTCAATCTTTAGTTCAGCAAACTTACTGGGCCGTAACCCACAACAAAATCAACATTATTTTAAAATACCTGGCGCATAGGTACGAAGCGCTATCTGGCGGCAGAAAATGTATCGAAAATAGTGGGAAGCGGAGACCGTAGCCACACATCGCTATGTAAGCACGCAACACCACATGTATCACAAGTGCGTTGAACAGGAATCTAGATTATCACATCATCGTAACATTCCCGAAGAGGACCGGTCCAGAAGTGTTGGTGTTCATGGATGTCAGGCAATCGGAACTTACACTATCTACCAAAAGCAGTAGTTTTCTGAATTAATTTAGCTAAATAAAAATCTAAATGAAGACAAAATTTTTTATTTTTAACATTTATTTTTTATTAATAGTGCCTTTATTCATAACTTATTTAAAGATTTTGGTTAATCCAGCTGATGAAAGAGGTGACTCTGGCGAAGGCAGCAGGATGGCCGCTCTGGCAACCGTCCCAATGTCCGAAAGAGGTCACGCCAATCTGTGAAAACAAATAATAGGATTTTTTTTTTATTTCGGTACACGATTATAAATTTTACTTTACTTTATTATAACACAAGCGACCCACCCTGGCTTCGCATGAGTGCAATGCTAATGCTAAGTTTCTGAACTATTTTATGGATGTTTGTAATTAGCGGTCGCCCGTGTGTATGTCGATTTTACATTTTTTCAAGTTCCCGCTTTTCTGATGAAATTTCCTTTACAACCTTTCCAACGAATGCAAAACCGTGGAAATAGGTTCGTGCGTTCTGGAGTTATAGCGTAAGGAAAGAAAACCCGACTTAATTACATATGTAGTATAGTAGAAAAACCCTACTCTTCTATTACTTTATGTATTAAACAGATTTCTCTATGTATTTAATTTTAAAGATTTAAGCATACATAGCGATATAGGGACTTTGTTTTATACTATGTAGTGACCTGAATTGCCAGAATCGAAATAAATTCGTATTGCGCTGATAAAGTAAAGTCAAGGGTAAAGTTTTTAATTCAAGCAATTCTTTTTTACATCTGTTCGAACACTCACCAAGATACGTCTGTTATTGCTGGTGACGACAAGAGGACCACCAGAGTCACCATGGCATACGCTTCTACCGCCAGCACCGCTAGTGCAGACGTTAGAGGGCTGGACATACCAGAACAAACTGTTACTGCATACAGCATTTGTGATCACTGGCAAGTCGACGAAGTTCAGAGTCGGGCTCACACTTCCACCTGAAAAATAATTAACAATAAAAAATTACTAATTGTTTAAAATAAAAAAAAAATATAATTTTAAAAGTATGTGTGGTGTATGGGAGAGATAAGTTTCAGCACCAATGGGTCAGCTCGACCGGAGAGAGACCACTTCACATGCATGGAACAACTACAGCGTAGTGTTTTGCAGTGTGTGAGTGCGGTTACCAGAGGGCTAATATTTTCCCACTCCTACCCTTCCCTAATCTCTAAATTTTCTTTCAAAAGTCCATGGCTACGCACTCGTAACACTTCTGGTATTGTGGGTATTTATAGGCGGCGCTGATTGTTTACCATCCGGTAATCTATCCTAGGTAATCCGTCAGGTCGTTTAAAATTATTTTTGTTCACATAAAAATACTTTATTACAAATATCTTTTATTGTTGCTGATCGAATATTATAATGGACGGACTGAGTACTTCTATGATCATGTATACATGTAACATGGCCAGTAAACAATTAAGCAGACAAATGTTTTAGGTTTTGAAATTTTAAGTAACAATTGACAATGTGCTTACCGTCTCTAGTAAAACCGAAGCCAGATGCAGTACCAGTAAAGCCGGCAAACTGGTTATTGATCTCGTTACCAGATGGGAGAGCGATGAATCCAATGTTGTCTGTGAATCAAATTTTATAATGTTATTGACATGCCAAAATTTCTCTGTAAATCACTTTGACATTTGACATTGACTTTATATTTTATGATAATCAACAATATCATCTCCAACACTATGATATGAAGGCTCCCTCAATAATCTATTGACCATGTATGCTAAATTAGTTTCGAATCGAATAAGAAAATACCTTGCAGTAAAAAATATTTAAAATTAGTTTATGAAAATTTATTGCATGGTAATAAGAAGATTACATTTCATCTTATCTACATTAAGCAGGAGTAACGTTGTGTAGCGATAACTTCATATTTTGATATGTTGTTCAATACTTACTTGAAGTAGACACAGCAGAAGGTAAGGTGATTATAGCGATGTCATTTCTGACAAGACTTGGACTCCAGTTTGGATGCATAACGACATTGGAAGAAGACAATCTTGTACCACCACTGTAGAGAGTGATAGAACCAAGAACTACTGTGAAACTTCTGGCCTGAGTTTGTCCGTCGAACCAACAATGCGCAGCAGTAATCACTTTCCTTGAATTAAGTAAAGAACCACCGCAAGCGCTGGTCCAGAGTGGCAATATGATGATAAGACCAGCCTGTAAAATAATTAATCTTTCATTATTAGACTGCAAATGTTAAGCATAGAGAACAGTAGTATTGATTTAGATGGAAACGTTAAGACAGATACTGATATTTTGGTTATTTCATGAGAAAATTTATTACCTGGTAGGGAAATTGCCCAAGTCGGGCTGGAGCACCTCCCACAATTCTGGATGGGTTAAGAGCTGCTTCTTCTTCAGCTTTACGGATCTTTTCAGCCAATGGAGCACCAACTTTTTCATGATAACCAAAAACCGGGTTGGCTTCTAGGTCAATTACATTTTCAATGTCGATGTTCCTAGCAGCGGAGAGCCCTACCAGGGCCAACAAGCCCACAACCAGAAGTTTCATTTTGCTGTTATCAAAAAATAAATGTGTTCTTTAATTATACTTTTTGTTTATATAGCTCATTTTCACGATAAAATCGACTAATCGTAATCGTCACATATCATAAGATTATAATTATTTGTGAACTCTGAATATAGTGAATTGTATTGCCAAGTGAGTTTAATTATTCTTGCTTTTTGTATTATGTAGCTGAAAAAGGGGTGTGTTATGACTAAACCTGGGAATGTCTTAAAAATTGACACCAATTATAGCTTGTTGTTTGCATTTTTGTGAAGTTAGATATTGACGTTACCTTCATAAAACAGGAATCCTTCGTTGGGCAGTTTCAAGTGTTAGTTTATATTCTGACTTCTGAGCTGCGTAAAAAACAAAATGTTATTCATACAAATACTATTTATCTATGGAACTATTTTAATGATATGAAACAATGAAACAATGAAAAAATGAATTTATATATGCAAATAGGCCATAAAACGGCACTTTTTCACGTCAATTTATATGTGAAAAACTAGATGAAGCCGGCATTTCCTATCTGACTACTCTGAGAAGAAATGCCGAAACAAACTCAGAGGTCACTCTCTTTTCAAGTCCAGACAATGTAAAAATAACATAATGTGAGAGAACCGTGCAAGTTCATTCTGTAGTGGTCTTTTGAGGAAAGAACCACACCAGTTTAAGTGGACCCATTCTGAATACAGGCACGCAAGTGTCAGTTTGCAACCAGTATAGCTGCTGCTGCTGAGTTGTCCGACAATACCGATCAAAAGAACATTTGGGTGGGTCGCGCAAGTACTCAAACTGTCAGAACGCAGATAGCTGGTAGTCAAAAAGCGCGGCAAGTCTCACATAGTCCTTACACTAACAATAATAGAAAATAATAAAAATGTCAAGAAATAAATATCACAATAGGTGATAACGTTATTGTATAAAAAAACTAAAATTAAAGTAATGTCAAACTGTACATAAAAAGTGCAACATGTTTATAACATTACATGTGTCAACATGACCTGTGCAGACGTTACAGCGGCTACCTAGCCTGACTATCTTCTAAGTAGTCTTTTATTTTAGCCTTAATAACACTTTTAAATTTATTGAGGCTCAAATTTTGAATATCGCTGGAATTTTATTGTAAAAGCGTATACATTGATATCTAAACGAACTACTTATTTTCTGAAGCCTGGAGGCAGGTAATAGGGATAGGGAGATAGACATAGATTAAGGTAATATATATATATGTACGAAGGTAGTTAGGTACATAAGCCAAAAAAACCATACCAACTGTAACGATTCCGGATATTCACACATTCCAACATTTTATTTACATGGTGTATTAATATCATATTTGTTATCTGTGCTCCAAACTGATTTTTATAAGCAGTTTATAAGTAAAAAAGAGATTACTATGTTAAAATTGATTAACAGAATGTGATAAAAACACATAATATTAAATTAAGAGTCGATAATAAGTGCACTATCATCGTATGAGTACAAATTGTTCTGGCTTAATTATTATATCAGATCAAGCGATAATTCTACTTTGATAATACTACAAGAGTGGTGCATATACTTCCACAGGGTCGAGTAAAGTACATAATTATACTATATTATAGGATGTGTGATTTAAAGGCACTCAATTTGGACCTATATATGTATTATTGATCACACAAAAAACTGTTGCAAGAAAATAAAAAGTCTATTTATTGGAACCCAGCCATTCACTCCACTCATCATCAGCTTGTAAGTATTCACTGCTGAGCCAAGGCATCTTCTTACAAGGAGAAGGTGAGATCATAATTCATCATACTAATGGATTGGTATTTTTAAACTTTTATTAAGAGGCTAAGGATTCCTCACGATGTTTTGCTCCATAAAATGACAGTGACATTTAAATAAACGAAGAAACTAGATATAACTTGGAATAGTTACATCGGTACTTGTCTGGTATTTAACCTGATCCATATTAGAGGGAGGTCCAAACCGCGACCACTAACACTCCACTATACGTGTTGTTATACGGAGAAGTTAATCTTACTAATAATATAAATGCGAAAGTTGCAACGTTTGGATGTTTGTTACTCAATCACACAAAAATGACTGGACGGATTTGACACAGTATAGGATACACTCCGGAACATAGGCTTCTTTTTATCAACATACCACGCGGGAGTAGTCGCGGGCGGAAGCTAGTTAAATAAAATCTCGTTCAATTTTAGTCCAATTTCGATACGACAATACCCGTGCCAAGAGGCATGTTTTTATACACCTACATATACCACATGTCCCGATAAAAAATGACAAAATTAAACATGCTGTTAATGAATTCTGTGTCAAAATGAAATCGTTTAAATTGCTGGCGCATTAATATGCAAGCTATTAATATTTGATTTGAAATATGTATACCTATATTCATTTTTAATCTATTACACATATTACTAAACAAATCATCGGAAAGTACGTTGTTATCACAATCTTGTAGATTATAATAATAATTAAGACATCATATACATATGTATAACAGAGATAGTAGGCATCTATGCTATCTATAACTACGACAGAATAAAATCAAAACGCATTTAGGACCAATCACAGATTGTTGACAAAGTATTGATTAACTTAATAATTCTAGATTATATAAAGAATGGGAATTAATCACCACTCTGCATCATGGGATCCGTCTTCAGCAAGGCGATGCCGCAGGTAATCTGGTGAAAAATTCGGAGAATGGCGATGAAATCGGAGAGGGGTTTTTAAGCCTGTTTATTTCAACCTTATTCGTTTTAAATTATCAGTCCATTTACAATGTACTTAATTGTTCATTAGCAAGCAGCAGTCATAACTTGACATTTGTTGCCAAGATGGTCGACTAGCCACAATAAAGACGCACAGAGGAATACATACATACCTACTTAAATAATGAAACTTGGAATTTTGCACGTGTGACTATGGTGACTGCATGATTTTGTTAATTTCACAAGTTGGTTGTTTAACTAAATAATATCAACTTTGGAAGTACGGGTTTGACATTACAACATAGGTACGTAATATCCCTATAACCTTTACTTAATAAAGAATCTTCTTGATTCTTAAAATGATAAGCTGCTCTCAGTTGTTTTTCTTCAGATATGAAACATTAGGCAGATATCATAACCGGCACCTTGATTGTGGATTATGTGTCTTATATGACGATTATCTTTTGAGCTTAATTAAATCACGACATTTACATGCTATATTTAGTTATAATGAAACACTTGACTTACTATTATAACATAAATAACAGATAGGCATAGAATGTAAGAGAATATTATTAAATTCGAATTAGAGCCAATAATTACAAATATATTCTACATCTAAAGTCTAAATATATCTTAAGTCTATAATTCTATTAAAATACTGAAAATAGTTATCATTACCAACGAAGCTAAGTAAAATGATTTCCCAAAATGTAAACTAACTTTAAATAAAATAGTCTCGGAACCGTTTACGTACCTATAACTTCTTATAAACTAAACGTGACTCTCTATGCTACGCGTCGTCGTAGTATATTGCTACGCGTATAGCATTTCTGCTACACTGCTACGTTTAAAAGTATTATTAGAGCAAAACGAAGTTTTAAATATAATAATCGATTACTTGTTTACGAATATTACTCAGTAATAAGTCAGTCTAGGAGCAAGTCTAATCCTCTAAGATAGTGGTATTTATCCCCATCAATCTATGATGGAGACCCCAATCCTTCCCCTCCCCCAATCCCTCCTTAATCCCTAAATCTCCAAATCCCTAATCCCTAAAAGGTCGGCAACGCACTCGTAACTCCTCCTTTGCTAGTGTCCATGGGCGACGCTGATTGCTTACCATCAGGTAATCCGTGTGCTCGTTTGCCGACCTACTAAATAAAAAACAACTATCAATTGGGTATTTTTTACTTTTTCATCAAGTAGTTTATCAATATTATATATCATTTAAAAATATAAAACTAAAAAAACAGCATCCCACCAATCATGAGACATAATCATCATATCAGCCTATAAGTGCCCACTTCTGAGCAAAGGCCTCTTCTCACACGGAGAAGGTTTGAACATTAATCACCACGCTTGCTCTAGGTGATTGGCGATTTCAAGTCCAGGTTTCCTCACGATGTTTTCCTTCACCGTTTGTCAGTGATGTGTAAATAATCTTAGAAAGTACATATGGTACTTGCCAGGTTTTGCACCCTCAGGTGTAACTGCCTCCGTTTTAAATTAAAGTAAGATTTTACTGAACAATTGAATTTATAAAGGTAGCGAGTGAAACAGGCGCTTATAGATTACGCATCTCTAGCACTTTTTCAGGTGTACATAAACAAATAGGTCCACCCAGAGTTACGGATTACAGTTTTTTATCTTGCATTAAAGAATTGCTTTTCGGTATTATAAAAGTATAATAAAAACTATATTTAATTGCAATAATTAATGTTTTATATTAATAAATAAAATTTATGTACCTATTATTTACAAGTCAATTTGTCAAGGTATTCACAAATTATCTAAGGTGTTGATTGATGAAGTCCATGAAAGATGTCACACGAGCGTAAGCAGCGGGCATGCTAGACTCGCAACCAAGAGGAGAACCGAAAGAGGTGATACCAACCTGCAAATAGAAAAGACATTTATAACAATCATCAAATTTACCAAGTGAAGCATTATAAATGTTGGCAGCAATAACTGTGCATGAAGGTTCATTTTTGTTTGTTTTAAATATCGCATTCTCAATTTATTGAAGTACCTAAAAATAATATCCGATTTGTTTTCAGAAAGTACGAAATTTTTGTACGTACCAAAAGAGGTTGACCGTTCCTGTTGACAACCAAAGGACCGCCAGAGTCACCTTGGCATGTACCAGGACCACCAATTCCACTGGTGCAGATGTTTGAAGAGTGCAGAAACAAGGGGAAGGCAAAACGGCAGACGGAGTTAGTGATCACACTTAAGCTGACGTGGCTCAAAAACTGGCTGGATGTGATGTTGATGTCTGAAAAATTATTAAAGCATTATTATTTCTTGCACTTTGATTATAAAGACTATATCTTTTACTCCTTTGATTTTTTTTAGGACTACAGTACGTACGATAACCGGTACATATATAATAAATAGTGTTCTAAATTTACAAATCAATAATAAATATCGAACAACATAATGTGACTGAGTTCCAGGAGTTCGATTTTATCAACCTTCACCGGGTTTTAAGCAGCAGTGTAGTCAGAAGATGTATTAGAAAAGCTTCAAAATATTTAGCGAGAATTATAAAAAATAAACCTATAGCCTAGCGAAACTTGAATAATTTTATGGACAATTTTTATTTATAATATATAATTTGATCTTCGTAAATTACGCTGCGCGTGTATTATTAACACACAGTAAAGATGGATGGACAGAATGATATCATCATATACTTACTGTCGCCAATTTTACCAAAGCCGGAGGCAATCGCAGTTTCACCGGCGAAGTCTTCATTGAGTTGAGATCCAGAAGGAAGAGCGATAGGTGCAATTACGTCTAAAATAAAAAAAAAATATTAAAATATTTTAATAAACTTGCTTTTTCAAAAACTACTACTAAACTTTAAGTGTGGGAGAGCCATGCTTCGGCACGAATGGGTCGGCTTGACCGGAGTGATACCACAGCCTCACAGAAAACCCGCGTGAAACAACCACAGCGTTGTGTTTCGCCTTGTGAGTGAGGTTACCGGAGGCCCAATCCTTCCCCTCCCCGATCCCTCCCAAATCCCTTAATCTCCAAAACCCTAATCCCCAAGGGGTCGGTAACTCATTCGTAACTTCTCCTTTGCGGGTGTCCATGGGCGGCGCTGATTGCTTACCATCAGGTAATCCGTCTGCTCGTTTGCCAATCTATTACATAAAAAAAACTATCATTATTTTAGTATTTCTTTTTGATTTTGTATAAATTTTATTACTAATTGTACTTACTTGAGAAAGCGACGTTATTAGGTAGATAGATCACAGCAACATCGTTGCGTGCGTTTGATGGGTTCCAGTTGGGATGCACAGCTACAGCACTAGTAGCTACCCTAGTTCCACCCGCAAAGAGGGTTGTTGAGCCGAGAACGACCGTGAACATGAATGCTTGGTATTCTCCATCAAACCAGCAATGCGCAGCGGTAAGAACCCTGTTAGCACTGACAAGCGAGCCTCCGCAAATACCGTTACCAGATATACCAGCGTAGGATGCCAGGAGACCAGCCTAGAAAGAGGAAAATGTAATTTTGTTATTTATATAATTTGTGTTCTATTTATTTCTCTGAAAACAAAGGTATTAAATAAAAAAAATAGAAAAGGTACATCATTAAAAGAACTGTCACAATGTAGGCTGCGTATGATTTCTACTGATTTTATTCCCTTTAACTTCCAATCCTTTTCTGTTTGTGTAATAGAACATCGGAACATCGGAAATCCCATCGAATGATCGATGGGATATTCGGGGAGGAGTAACAGACTTTAATTGTAAACCACCTCATTCTAACTTCTATTCAATTCCGAAGCCCATGGTCACCCATGACTCTGGCAGAAATCCAAACACAATAAACAATCGTTCCCATATTAATTTCTTACATAAACTGTAATGTCTTATAACGATCCTCTTTACCTGGTATGGGAAAGCACCAAGAGGTGAAGGGTCGCCACCAATAATTCTGCTACCACTGGCGTTGATTTGTGCCTGTTCTTCGGCTTTACGAATTGTTTCGGCCAATGGAATTGCGTAGTTCTTTATATACCCGAAAGCTGTATGGGCGGCTTGAGGGTTACTTTCAGCTTTAGCGTAGGCAAAAGTTGCCAAAGCAAGTACAAATAGGACCTTCATTGTAAGTATTGCGATCTATTTCCAACTATTCTATGATCCTAAACGATAAATTCATTACTTATTTATACGATGTTTTATCACCCGCTACCGATTAGTTTCTGATAAAAACTAATAGACCTACAAGATGTGATCCTTATCTTGGGTTTCTCACTAACTTTTTCCCTTTTTATTATTTTACAAATTTTTGTTGTTTGTAAAAATGTTTTTTACGAAAAATTTCAACTATTTTATTATTATTATTGAAATTATTTAATACAACGCGTTCTTACTTTATTTTTAATATCTCGGCTGATGGTAAACGATTATGTGACTTTCTATAAAGACAATTCGTTTCTATTCACTCGGGCCTCAAAACGAAAAAACCAGCTTATACCTATTTGGGGAATACAAACTCCGGCAAAGAATCGCAGCAAATTACGTTGTGCGTACGGGTGGGATGTCCACCTTGAAGCTGTGACGTTTTTGCTAATTTTCTAGTGGTATGAAGGTAGAAAGAAATTGGAATTATTTGGTATTATTATACCTTTAAAATCTTTTGAAATTCTTAAAGATGTAGCTTTGATACGATATTAAGTATACATATGTAAAGATACTAAGTCATTTAATTTCTGGGCACTTTATCAAGTTTTACTGAGTGCCTGTCTACGGGTATTTTTTTGGTAGTGGACAAGCTACTGCGCAATGTGCCGTACGAAACTTTATATCTGATCCACTACTACATTTAGATGCTCTGCATAATATGCAATTTTGTGTTTTTGTTGGATTATGTTATGACGCGCCTGTTATAAGCACTGCTGCTTATTAAAAAAGAGTCCCGTTATACCTTGACACTAGTAGCCTTTTTCTTTTTCTCATAAGGAACAAGTCATTTGCAGAAACCTCTTACCTTAATTTTTGACAGATGAAGACACCTTACAGTGTTTAGGTTTTGAGGCACCTTTAAGGATGTCAAAATAAAACTTTATACAAATATACAGCTTGGTATCTTAAAATCCGAGGTGAAACTACTAAGATGACTGGACTAAGTATACAAACCTGGAACCACCATTTTTTTAAGAGGGTGTGAATGCCCAGTCAGCAAGTGATCGGTAGCCGTAATACCAGAGGAGTCACAGGCAAGTGGTTGAAACAACTTCTGAATATTTTTGTGTTGTGTATATCCATGGGCGGTGCCGATTATGTAACATTAGATCATTTGTATACTAATTTGACGAGCTATCCTATAAAATATCCAGTAACTTAAAGAGACATTTAAATTTGCCCATTAATTAGTATAGATAAGTTCTTCACGACTTGGGAAAAAACGATTACGTATGTATAATGCTGATGTATAGATTAAGCGGAAAGTACGGCTTAATGATAAGAAGAGAAACTGGATTTTCTGAGGGAATTACGTCGGAATAGTTTATTACGAATTACGATTAAGATATTCATTAAGTTTGAATGGTAGATGACTTAAAGTTTTATTTTAGTAGTTCAACCTTTACAGTTAGGTGCGTGTTTTCTTTAGAATATGCCTGAAGATTATTTATTAATATTGTAGAAGTATTAAGTTAAAAAACATTAACTTTATATTAATAGTGTATAAAAACGATAGTATATATGTTGGGTTAATTTTTTGCCGATCAACATAAAACATTGTAACATTTTTCAGTTTTTATTTTTGATTATAATTTTTTTTTGACAGTTCTCTGTTCATCTACAATTTTGGAAAATTTGCATGTTGTGTTTTTATTTAAGTTATTCATATGCGACTAGTATAGAATGTAGATACTTGTGTCAGCTTAGAGTTATCATGCTAAATCAGAGGTTTTGTTGGCCGTGGCACGGGCACTGGATCGCTCAATTCCTTATAATATGGTTGAGTTGGGTGGTGCTGGTGTACGTGTCGTGTTATTGCATGAGCGCCGTCAATTGGGGCTGTTCAACTTGACACTGTCTGAATGTTTGACCTTGAGGTGATTTTCTTTTTCCGATGCTTTAAATTAATATTTGTTTTACACTGTTTTCACATAATAGAATCGATAAAATGATTTGAAACACAAAAATGAATTGTGAAATTGATTGAAAAAGAGTAACTGTGGAGGTTTTCACTCGTTCTTCTTCACTCGAATCTACACTTTGGAACGAGCAAATAGTTCAACTAGAGGATAGAACGACATAGTGACACTTTTACTTTGATTTCAAGAATTCTGATATTTTGTACCACTCTGGTCGAGCCGACCCTTTCATGCCGAAGTATAGCTCTCTCACAGTTAATTCTTAGACTCGTGTTCATGCTTTCAGAATTTCAAAATATTCTTATTGTGTGTATGCTGACGCTCTATGGAGTTTGTTCGCTCTTCTCCGTGCAAATCTAAAAAAAAACGATGCCCCACACACGGATCTTCTCGTGTCGTGGATGTGTTTTAAAAATATTCACCTACACATCACACCCAGACGTGTAACAATATGGACCACATAAAGAGTTGTTTACTGCGGGAATCGAACCCACGACATATTGTGCCGCAGACCAGTTACCGCGCCAACCGTGCAGCGAAACCATTATCTATATACATATACATACTTATTTGTTTTACCAAGAAAACTCGAAACTAAATTTCATTGTCCAATTTTATTTAGCAAAGCAGAGATGAAGTGGATGTATGTATTTAAAGAATCTCAATATCTAAACAATAACTCATAGAATACCTAGTTGCTGGTTCGCTGGGAGCTGATTAGAGGTTCATTTGTCCGACTGAACTAACTTAACGCAGAAAATAATTATATTTAAATACCTTGGTAGGCTTGACGTTTCGACCTGGTTGCATTGGTCGTGACACAAGCAGACTGTATCAAGGTATTTAAATAATTATTTTCCCTCGTTAATACCCGCGTAATTACCGAAATATTTAACACAAATTTTATTTAAGTATAAAAAAGATTGGTATTACAGTTTTAAAGACCCACGTCCACGTCGTCGATCCACGTTCCACGTAATACCATATAAATACAGATGCGGCCCAATAGAGGCGATGTTCAGTCGGGGTTGCGGGTTAAGGCGCGGACAGTAGAAGAAATGGGGTGATTTTTAGTCAGTATGAGTTTTACGCTCCCTCATGGCTCCTCACGGCAATCCAGGGCGTTAGAAGTCAAATGATGACATTATTATGAGCCTTCCTCCCAAAAAATAAACCATATGGAATTATTTAGTGTATGGTGTGGTTCTTGGATCACTCATATTGCACAGGAAAAATGGTGAATATTGAGTACTTAAAACAAATAAAAAATACCTTCACTATTTTCAAATAATCGAATAGATTTGTTAATTAGAGAAAACTATTTTTTTACGGATTTATCATCATTGCATTTAGTCATTTCATGTGCACAGAGAGGGTATACATGTAATATAGCTACGAGTAGCGACATCTGTGAAACAACGAGAAGACTACAATGCCGACAAAGGTTTGTAGAATCTTGTAAAGCGCTGTAAAATTAATGTAAGTGTAAAATATAGGGTATCACGTTGTAGGTACGTAGTTACTAACCAAAATTGTGATATACATAATTGAACATCTGTCCAATAGATGTCATATTTATAAGTACATATCTATTGTTAATAAGAAACGTTGACGTGTGTACATACGATTTTGTTTCGATGTTTATTCTTAAATTGTTTAGTGATCAAATCTGTACTAATATTATAAAGAGGTAAGGTAAAGGTTTGTAAGTGTGTATGTAGGGGGTAATCTTTGGAACCGCTGGTCGGATTGGCAAAATTCTTTTACTGATGGATAGCTACAATGTTCCTGAGTGCTATAGGCTATAAAAACATCACGCTACGATCAAATGGATCTGAGCAGTGGGTGAAACCGCGCGAGAGTAGCTAGTTTATTTATAACCTGGTTAACTTCGTACCACCACCGCTACAAGTATACTGCTAGGTGGTTATTTCTTGCCACATATCTAATGTCACGTACCTAACTAACCACAGCAAATTGTTTAATATAAAAATAAATTTCGTTTTAAGTAATTTATACGTTATTGTCTAGTTACGATCAACTAATATTTTCTGGACTTTCATGAAACTATGTAAGTCGATCCAGTCTTAAACAGCAGTGCATTTAAAATAATGCATAAAATGACGTATTTTATGTTGTAGTATATTTACGACATTACTCTCATAATAATATGTCCTGCTTATGTTTTTTTTCATATCTGTTTTCGGCGGTCTCCAATTTATTTGAGACATTTTAAGTATTCAGTAATTTACCCATTTTCTGAATCAAATACTATTTCAATAATAAACTTAAGCCTGTGTCTGCAGACAGAAAACTGTTGAAGGCAAATCCTTCGCTACCGTAGTAGGTCACCGGTGACCCCCATGGCGTTTAACGTGTTAAGTAATAGTAAATATAGTTTGTATATTACACTGCTAAGCAAGATTAATACAGACTGCTGAAAGTAATATGCTAGTATTGATTATATTGAGAAACCTATAATTATAGCCATACCTAAATGTTTATTGAATTATTGTAAGGTTTGTTATTTATATTATTATACTCAAATATATTTAAAAAACAACTACAACAACAAAATTTATTAGCTATAATTTCGTTGCTTAAACAATTTCTAAGGACTTTTTGGGTCAGCCGAAATCGTGGGTAGAGCTTAATTGTGGCTATCTCGGCCTGGAGCAGGATAAGGAATGGGGTGAGCTGTTTAGCTAGTGCCGCTGAATAGTTACACTTATACAAATTTTACAAGTATTTAATATTATTGATAATTATTGGCTCATTAGTTGACATGAAGTTTTTCTTATGACCTTTTGGCAAGCCTGTAGCTAACCATGTCAATAAATCAAAGAACCTGAATTACATGAAGACTCAATTTTATTATCCACAATATGCAAATCCCTAACAACCCACAAAAGGTCGGCAACACACTTGCAACCTACAATATTGACTGTATCCGTGGGCGACGCCAAATGCTTACGATCAGGTGATCCATCTGCTCATTTACAGCTTTATTCCATAAAAATAACACATTTATAATTTTTGGATCGAGTTTTAAGACAAAATTGACCATTATTATAAATAATAATAAATGTTTATTTGTTATAAAAATTTTGATTGCAAAATGTATAATATAAGATATTATACATAGTAAAGCGAAGTTCAATGTTTAACATCATTATTATTGTTCCATCTAGCTATTTTGTTTATTAAAATAACCATGGATTTGGGAGGTAGCTGATAAAATCTTATGCTACTAGTAAAATATACCAAAGACGAAATCGTATTGATGACATCCTCGTCAGGAGAAAGGGATATGCCAATTGAGCGTGACACATAATGAGAGTTTTTTAGTTTTTTTAACCATTAATTGTTTTTGAAAGAGTGCTTTAGTTTTGGTTCATACAAAATTATTGATTTATCAACTTAAAGATGTTAATAAAAAGCATTGATTTATGAACAAAAAACTTAAATTATATTTGGCTAAAAAATTATATGTGTTGGTTGAAGAAATCGACGAAAGATGTGACACGGGCAAAAGCTGCAGGCAAGCTAGCTTGGCAACCAAGAGCAGATCCGAAGGAGGTAACACCAATCTGAAGCAAGAAAAGACAACGTTAATATTAGTTCATCAAAGCACAAGTTGAGACAGAAGCTAAATATCAACTATAGTCCCTGGTTTATACAAAGTAAAATAAAAATATAGAAATTGAGTTTTTAACTTCTAAAATAATTTTAATAATTCTTACCAAGACAGGCTCGTTGTTGATAGTAACAGCCAGAGGACCACCAGAGTCACCTCTGCAGGTGCTGGAACCACCAAGGCCGCTAGTGCAGATGTTAGAGGATTGCAAGATCAAGGGGAAGGCGTAGGAGCAAACGCTGTTGGAGATAACGTTCAAGCTGACGTGGCTCAGGTACTGGTTGGTTGAGATCGATCCACCTGTAAAGAAAATTAGTGGATTAGTTTAAAATTAACGTACATTTTCAGCCATCTTGTTTTTAAAATCGAATCTAATTGGTTCACATGTAGCAAAATTGTAAATTGTTTGATAAAAACTTACCATCTTGAGTTAAACCGAAGCCAGAAGCAACGGCGGTGGCACCGACGAAGTTATTGTTCAGTAAGTCCCCAGAAGGCAGGGCAATGGGCTTGATGGAGTCTGAAAAACAATAATGAAATGACGTTAAACTTATGTGGTCAAATATTTTTTCATCACAGTTGTATAGAATTAAAAACAGTGCATCTTTTTTTTTGTCATTTGACTTACCTGAGAAGTCAACAGCGAAAGGTAGGTAGATAACACCAACATCGTTGCGAGCAAGGAGAGGCTGCCAGTTAGGGTGAAGGATGACAGCGCTGGTTTCAATCCTGGTACCGCCAAAGAAGAGTGTGTTGGAGCCAAGTACGACGTTGAAGAGCCAAGCCTGGTTCACGCCATCAAACCAACAGTGGGCAGCGGTGATAACTCTGCTTGCACTGACAAGGGAACCTCCGCACACACCGGTGCCAGCGATACCGGCGTAGGAAGCGAGAAGACCAGCCTATGAAACATAAATAAACTGTATAATCATTTGGACGTTTTATAGAAACAATAATTTTTCATACAAATCCTGAAGGTCATTTGAAGATTAAAATAATTCGGTTGTGATAATTTTTACACTACAATAATACATTAAGTGCACACTAACCTGGTAGGGGAATTGACCAACACTGGAAGGAGAACCACCGACAATTCTTTGCTGCATCATCTGTTCCTCAGCTTTGCGGATTTCTTCTCCCAATGGGATGGCATATTTCTGGATGTAGCCGTACGCAGTGTTACCGTCAAGAGCGGGTTCTACATTCGCGTAGGCGAGAGTTGCCAAAGCTAGGACAAGGAAGACCTTCATGATGATACTTTAAATAATCACTGAGCAAGAACAAAATCACAGAAGTTAGTATTTATATAAGTTCGAGCATTACGTAAAAAATACGTCATTATTTATATCAGATAAAGCCAAGTTCTCAAGAAGCGAGACTTTTTAATAATCATTTGTTTATTTAAGGCGTATACAATTATTTATAATTTTTTTAATAACATCAGCTTTTTTATTCTGTAGTCCAACGTAATGTGTCCCAGATATTCCGAGTAAAACATCAGAACAACAGTCGCAAGAACGTAGTGATCAATAAAATAATTATTTATTCAGTGATTCCTAATAGTTCTATATAATTTAGCCATAGTTGCTTGGGTAAATCTGAGAAAAATGTATGAACCATTCAGCATTAATATTAGTTTTCTCTGTAGTTCAAAATGAATAAAATAACAACTTTTGGAGATTTAGGGATTGGGGAGGAATCGGAGGAGGGGAAGGATTGGGCCTCCGATAACCTTACTCACACGGCGTATTAGTTCCAAACTGACAAAGAAGATGTTGTTAAGTACAATCAAAATACGCTCTTGATAGTTTTATGTTTTGTAATTCAACCAGCTTCTGCCAGCGACTTCGTACGCGTAGAATAGTGAGTTCTGGCAGATTTTTGGTTTTACCCACATAACTCCCGTTTTCGTAGGATTTTCGGGAAGTTCTCCTTTTAAACTCCCGGGATATTAACTATCCTTTGTTCGTTTCGAGTTTCAAACTATGTCTGTGATGCATTTTATCCAAATCGGTTCAGTAGGAGAGACAGACAGATATACAGAGTTACCTACTTACGCATTGACAGCATTGGATTCAATTAATAAAATATTTGAATCCAATGCTGTCAATATTTTTTGAGGAAAACTTACAGCAACACATTGAAACAACTCAAAACCGATTATTTATTGATTTTTAGCGCGCCACAAAACATAACTTTCTGGCAATATTATTCTATTACTCATAATAAATCTTTAGAAAGGTCAAATCTGTACTTGAAATATTAAATTTGCTGTGTCTGCGACTTCGTCCAAATGATTGTGGGTATGGAAGTAATTAGGATAAAAATTACAACACATTGCTCTGAGTTTTATTGCGTATAATTATAAAGTTTCCCTAGTAAAGTTCTTATTTATCTTCCATGTACAGACACCGACCTCATGCTGTTTATTATATGTACTGATATCGATTATTATCTTGAAGCGTGGCATCGAAAAGGTGCACGCATTTATACTGATTTCTATCATCCTTTTTTATTGAATAGAGAGAGTGATATAATCGTAAGAGTAAACAAATATAATTAGAATGCTCTGAACTGTTGAGATATCAGGAGTGAGTGGGAGGACACGTGTTATTGTGAGTCAACCATAAAACATAGGCATAAACTGTTGCAGGATATTTTGTACATAATTTTATGTGAAACATTCTCGTGTTACATGATTTCTATGTAACTTTAACCATTTAGGCTGCACACGCGACGGAAGCTAAGAAAATAAAGTAACTTCTGCCGTTTTCCCAACATTATCATTCACTGCTCTGCTCCTATTAATTGTAGCGTGATGAAAAGTATTCTAAGACCTGCCCAAGAATATAAAAAAATAACTGTACCATGTTTCGTTAAAATCTGTCGAGTAGTTTTTGTTTCTATAAGGAACTTACAGACAGCCTGACAGACAGACAGACAGACCGACAGACAGACAGACCGACAATTTTTTTTCAGATTACATTTTTGCCATCAGTATTGATCACTTATCACCCCTGATAGTTATTTTTAAAATATATTTCATGAACAGAATTGACCGCTCTACAGATTTATTATAAGTATAGATCTATACAGATTTCGTGTGATTTTAAAAAAATGCTTTTATTCTTGTTTTTTTTTTGCTAATCGTCTTGGACCTGTACTATCCTCCTTGCGCTGCATTCCTCTTTGCTGAGAGTCGTGGTCCCCCTTCTGCATCACTTTCTTTCACATGATCGTCCACTATCTAACTCTGTCGCTGGCTGTGTGGGGTATCATTGATAGTGGAATCTAAAGGAGTTTGGATCAGATCAGACCAATGCCTAAGCCTTTTTGTTAAATTTTCCGGTCACAACGGGTCTTTTCAAAGTTTCTGATAAACTTATGTGTAGAAAATGGTTTAAAAAATATTTTCGCTTTTGTAATTTATGTGATATAGCGGATATTCAGATGTATTAAAACAAGCCCTTAGTCTTCCAATTAATTTTACAATCTATTTGGCGTAATACAAAATAAACGTTATCTTAATACTTTGTTTGTGATTTCCTAATTAACTATTTAAATTAATCTAATCTGCTACAATGCGACACAGTTGTAATCCGACATTATCATCCGCAATACCTACTTTTTATTTATTACAAATATACGATTGTTTGAATGATATGTCAACTTAGTGTTAGTAAGAATTTATTAAATTCACATCACATTATCAGTCTATAAGTGCCCACTGCCGAGCAAAGGCATCTTCTCACACGAAGAAGGTTTAATCATTAATCACCAAGCTTGCTCAAGGCGGATTGGTGATTTTAAACTTATAATTAGAAATTATAAGCCCAGGCTTCCTCACAATGTGTCCTTTCACCGTATGTCAGTGGTGTCTAAATAATCAAAGAAAGTAAATATAACTCGGAAAAAGTCACATTGGTACTTGCCAGGTTTCAACACCCTCATGCATGGGAAGCGGGCGTCTTACCCTCCTGGCCACCATGACAAATATAAATTTTTCGTCACAAAATTACCTTCTACATACAAACTTACAAATTTTACCTCTTTATAATTTAGTATAGACTACTTACATAAGCTTATCAAGAAACACGTGCCAGTGGGTTCTAATCAAGAGTTATCTTCACTTCATATGCCTAATATGTTCAGATTGTTCAGTCCTCACAGTTATCTATTGGTAGACCAAACTATATAGAGTTTTCAATAAAGTTTAATATTCTTTTACTATACAGCTGATTAGATAAACAATGGCTATTCTGTTGTGATGATTATTCTTTATTTTCATACCAGGTATACCTGGTGTTCTGCGGAATTGATCGGTTTGATTCCCGCCGTATCTTTTCGCTATCGTTCCAAGCGAAAAAATGTCATCATCAATCATCCCCATCACATAGATGGTTGGCAGTCAACAACTGCGATTTTCGCGTAATTTTCTGCCCCGCACAGGAAAGCTTTGGAATGATCTTCCGGCGGCGGTATTCCCGAACCGATACGACCTTCAAACCTTCAAGAAACGAGCGTACTCCTTCTTAAAAGGCCGGCAACGCACCTGTGACTCCTCTGGTATTGCAAGTGTCCATAGGCGGCGCCGATCGCTTACCATCAGGTGATCCGTCTGCCCGTTTGCCTCCTATTCCATAAAAAAAACCTGCATACTAAATGTATGCATACTGTACAACTATCGACATAGTTTTTAAATATTTTTATTTTAATAATCAATTTTACTTTCAATTTAATAAAATACGATAGGAGAAACATTACCGATTCTAGAACCAGAAAAATGATATGCTAAAGTATAAAATAATAAACTTATTACTAAAAATAACACAATCATCAAGAGACATCACTCCAAGTTTACTGCAGTTCTCTGTCATAAACATGTGTTTAAATAAAATGTAAGTTGTTAATTAAACTTTTGCAACCCAATATTTCACAAAATTCAAAGTTGAGATTTCATATCTGTGTTGAAGGTACGAAAAATACCAAGATAATCTTATTATCTTCTATATAACCTTAACTTATTATCTACTATTTTAACTTATAGCTTATTATCTAGAATTTAACTATACATATATAACAGAATATAAACTCCGAAGATTCTATGATGAATAGAGTACTGTTATCCAGCATCTTTCAACTGTGTATGTAGTTCCTCTACTAGATTAAAATTTATTTGTAAAATTCGACTTCACAAGCATACACATAGACAAATGTGTATGTATGTACATACATTGCAATTTAAATAAAAGTTTGTAAAAAAGGGCTGGTGACGAAATTATATTCTACAGTCACCAAACTTTTTTGGCGATTGGCTTTTGTTTAAATTTCATTCTCCCCTTTTTCATTTGTTGAAATTCTTTGTTAGAACTGAGTACACTGATGCCCGGTTTCCAAAAGCCCGATCAATGTTAAAATCAACTAACTAGGTGTCAAATCTCTTGTCAAGTCATCTGATTGGTTGTTGATAATTCAGTCAACCAATCAGATGACTTGACAAGAGATTAAATTGATTTTAATCATTGATCGGCCTTTCGGAAACCGGGTGTTAGTGTATGGCAATGCGCCCGTTCATGGCACTCGTAAGAGACCTAACTAGTAAAAAGTAGATGCCTAATGTCTTCTAGGTCAATAGATAGAGACATCTATTAACCATTCAGTAAATCTGATTTCGCATAGTATCTATTAACATAATTTTATACCGTATGTTTTTCTTGATTCACTTTAGTATGGAACAACAGAGCTATATGTTTAAAAAAAGTATTTTTGCCATCGTGAAGTTAGCTGACAAAAGGTGAATAAAACAAACAAATTAAAAAAAGTTTTTGTTTTTATTTACAGGAACGACTATAAAATGTTTGTCAGCCTTATTTTTATATTCTTACATGATGATATTGATAATTCTGGTTAAAAGTTCAAAAATGTAGTAGTTAGTAATTCTTTAGATGGTAAGTAAATTAGTATTTTTTTGTAAAATTATCGGTGCTGGTTGATGAAGCTAGCGAAGGAGGTAACACGGGCGAAGACTGATGGCAAGTTGATTTGGCAACCGAAAGCAGATCCGAACGAGGTGATACCAATCTGTAAAAGAAACAAGAGTTGAAAAACATTTTGACAAAAATTAAAGATATTTTTTATGACTCAACAAAGAAAATACTGCTAAAAGGTGGTACTATATTTTTATAATTTAAGCATTAGGGATCTACTTATGTCAGTGTTTAACAAATATTTTGTCTTTCTTAAAATAAAATTAAACCATTATTTCGAATAACATAAAAACAATAAATAAGAAATAAAATACTTACCAAAACGTTCTGTCCATTCTGGGTAGCAACAAGAGGACCACCAGAGTCACCGCTGCAGGTACCAACACCTCCAACACCACTGGTGCAGAGGTTAGAAGCCTGGAGAACGAAGGGGAAGGCGAAGCTGCAAGCGCTGTTAGCGATGACATTCAGGCGAACGTGGCTCAGGACCTGGTTGGCGCTGATGCTTCCACCTAGAAAATTAATGTTTAAATAAAATGTTTGCTAGATCATATCAGTGATTTTCTGTTTGAAGCTTAGGAATCGGCGCTTCCAAATTATTTAAGTCATCTCAGCTAGATTTAGATTTATAACAACTTAAGATTTAAAAAATATCTAGAAGTTTCTGTTAGAAATTGAATCACTGACAAAAATGTTGATGTGGCTAAAATTCTTAGTAGATGACGTACCACTACTTGTCAAACCGAAACCAGATGCGATGGCTGATGCACCAACGAAGTCGGAAGATCCGCTGGCAAGAGCGATGGGTGCAATGTTAGCTGAAAATGGAAAAGATAACGATATAAATTTTCGTATTTATACGTACAAAGAATGGATTAATTTCCATATTATTTTTCTTTCTTTTATTACTTTGAATACACGTGAAGCATATTCAATGTCAATTTTTACGGTTAATAAGAATTCAGTTCAGTTATCATTCTTTGATCACTTACCGGACAACTGAACAGCATTAGGCAAGTAGAGTACACCGACGTCATTACGGATGAGAGCTGGGCTCCAGTTGGGGTGCATGGCCATCACGCTAGTTTCAACTCTGGTACCGCCAGAGAAGAGGGTGGTGGAGCCGAGGACAACAGTGACTCTCCATGCTTGGTGTATGCCATCGAACCAGCAGTGAGCAGCAGTCACCACCCTGGAAGCGCTGATGAGAGAACCACCGCACACACCGGAACCTTCGAAACCGATGATCGAGATGAGGAGACCTGCCTAGAAGTTGAATGTACGGTTAGAGAATATAAATTTATATGAAATCAAAAATGTTGTTAATTTTGGTGCAACGTTTTAATTTTATCACTATTTACGTTGCGATACTTTCTTTTTATTCTTTGAAGTTGAGGATGCATTTATAAGGAGAGAGTATGAACAAACCTGGTATGGGTATTGTCCTTGTCCAGCGGGAACGCCTCCAACAATTCTGGAGCTACTGAGCTTCTCCTCAGCTGCCTTGATCCTCTCGGCCTCAGGAATACCATACCTCACGAGGTAGCCATACGCGGTGTTGCCTGGGAACAGGACTTCTTCCGCACAGGCGAAACTGGCCAAAGCCAGGCAAACCACAATAAAGGCTTTCATCTTGGTCACGGATCGAACTAGATGCAGAATGAATCCTGTTTTTATTTTATAGTGGCAATATAGATAATAATTGTCAAGTTGACGCAATTAATTGTTGATAATGACTTGATAGGTGTAGGAGTGTTATCAAAAATGTACAGTGATTAGTATTTGATTATCACGTAGAAATCTCATAGCACCTTCAGATTAACATTTGCCAATGCATTAAAATGTTGATACGAATATTTAACCGATAAATAATTAAATGGTTTTTCCTTCCCTTTTAAGGAAAAAATATACTTACTCTAAGATAATACAGTTTGTTAGGTTTTTCCAAATGCGCTTCCTATTACTTCTCTTTTAGTATTATTAAAAGAATTATTATAATTCAGATTTCCGAATAATAACAAGAAATGAGAAAATGTTGAATAAAGCATTGGGCGTAATTTGACTCTTCCTTATATTCACATGGCAATCACAAATGAATAAACGGCGATTGTGTGTCAAATACTGCAGCACACTTTTTTTATGTCATTGGTCGGCAAACGAGTAGGCGGATTACCTGGTGTTAAGCTGTGCCGCCCAATTAAATTCAGTATAGAATAGTTTTACTACATTTTTTTATTTCATGTATATTTTTGCATAGAAAAAATGGAAGCTGTTTTTTTCACGATTTGACGTAGTGTGCACTAAATATTACAATGATAATGCAAAAAGTTTTATCTTTATAAGTACAACAACCTAAAAAAGAATGGGTGTCTTGGCAACTCTGTGTAGATACTTATCACATCCGTTGCAACATATAATTTATTACTTTACAACAAATAATCAGTTCGGCTTATTAAAGACAGCATTGAAAATCATGTTGGAGAGGTTTTGCTTTTAGCCACCATCTACGTTTATTATTATTACAATTTATTTGGTAAATAATATAGTAATTTTATTTAAAATAATGGTCATAGTCAGATTGCTTTGGTCTCTAAGGTGATTCCTACCCTTGACAGCTATTTAACCCAACGAGTTGCTCTAATTGGGGATGTTCGTAAGCATTTATTATTTCCATAAACAAGATTATTGATATTTTCACACATGATATGTTTACTAGTATTATATCTATACTAAAAAAAAACACATTTTCATAGAAAGTGTGATTTGAATAAACATAAAAAATTGAGATTTATGAATCTAACAGGCTGAAGATAATTAGTGTTTGTTAAGAATTTAGTCTAATTCATTAATAAACTTTTTAAAAGTATTTATCAAAAATGGAAATTGATAATCTATCGATCTGGCACTCCTTAAAAATGTTCGAGAAGCAAATGTCACTAATTCTAAGATAAAATATAATACAAATCTAATCTAAGATACATATAACAAACGACGCGTCGAGTTACAGATAAAATAAAACATAACCTCAAAAATCACGAATACAAAACTATCATACCTTTCGAACGAATTTCCACAGGTACGCTCGAAATCGCAGTAACTATTCTATACAATTGAAATCACTTAAGATTGCCTTTTAAATAGGCAAAGATTAGGATCGAATAAAAAAAACAATCCGTATGTAAACAATACTTATTCTCCTCTCTTCAGAACGCTTGATAATATTTTATCTCTCTATTGAAATATCTTTAATGATATTTACAAATACTAATATTTATCAGATACTATATTTATCGGCCAACTATTCAGTTTATCTTTGTGTTTTGTTAAAAAATAGTATTGAGTTTGTATTAAGTAAATAGTTTTATTTACTTTTTCAATGGATATAATAGCAAGTGTGAGTGTTATTCTGTTTCAAGGCTGTTGTGAAGTTGAAGCACAGCAAGCAACACTTATACAAATAATTATATAAATATGAAAACCAATATAATTACACAATATGAAAACTAATATAAAACTAGTATAATTTCAGTTCTTAATTTCTAGTATCGAGATTATTTACGTAAAATCATGGTTTTGGTAGATATGTTATTGTAGTGTTACGAACAACACTACAAATTATATTATTATATCTCTTTAGTGAAAAATTATAGTTAGTGCCAGTAGTATTTGCTAAAATCTCTGCTAACTCAAAAGTAGCCATGTTTGCATTCAATATTTTCAATATTACAAATAGTATTGATGATTGTATAGATAAAGCCCTATAAAAAATGACTATATAAACCTTTATTTCACAAAAATGACAAAAAAAAACATTTCATACGGATTCCAAATCCAATAAAAGCCATAAATATACTTATTATTATTTTATTAAATTGAATTAAGAACAATAAAATTCAATTAAAAATAAAACAAGATTTTTATTATTGATTTTAATGTTGTTGATTAAATGTGACGGTTGATGAAGTCCATAAACGATGTGACACGGGCGTAAGCACTTGGCATACTGCTGTCGCAGCCAAGTCCGTGGCGGAAAGATGTTACACCAATCTGAAAAACAATATTATTATTAGTGTATATAAACTATAATTAGATTAGGCCATCAGCTACTGGATAAACTATAGTCTTTTTTTATTTTACACTGTCATCTATCTATAACTATGTGAAAACATGCTCAGACCCGTCTAGTACTTTTTACGTGAAGCAGTGACAACACTTTTGCGAATATAACATTAGTAAGATTACACAGTTACCAACAGTTAACGTATTTGCAATAAGGTGCAACTAAAAATTGCAAGAGGAAAGAGAAAAGCTAGAAGAAAAAAAGAAGTAAGAGGACGAGAAGAGAATTAATAGTTTACATCTACGAAAATACATACCAAGACATGTCTATTGTCCCTGGTGATGACGAGAGGTCCACCGCTGTCTCCGCCACATATCCCTACAGTACCAAGACCACTGGTGCAGATGTTAGAAGACTGCAAGACTAGAGGGTACACCCAATTGCACTCGCTGTTTGAGATCACGCTCAAACTGACGTGGTTTAGATTCTGGTTCGAGCCGATGCTACCATCTGTAAATTAAAATGGATTAATTGAACAACTTTTTACAATCTTCAACGCAGAACGAAAAAGACAAACATTTCACAAGTGCAATTTTCTTTTAAAATAAGAATGCCAAGCTTACTCCTTTTATCTATTTGCAGCTTAGGATTTTTCTGATAATACTCACCATTGCTAGTTACACCAAAACCAACAGCTATTGCCCTCTCTCCCACAAATGACTCAAAAAGTTGAGATCCACTAGGAAGTGCTACAGGTGCAATATTGGCTGCAATGAAACGTAGATAGAACTTAATTCATTGTAGAAAAAAAATCATGAACAAAAAACACAAGACTACAATAATTTGAGACTTAGAAGTATTGCACATTGCTAATGTTTTAACAAGCAATAATATCTTCTTTGTTCTTTTTCCATTCTTCTTTTCACACAATATTGCGAATAAAAAGTTTTACATGATCTTCACTTACCTGATAGAGATACAGAATTAGAGAAATAAACGACAGCTACATCATTGCGTGCTAAAGCTGGGCTAAAGTTGGGATGAGTGGCGACTGCACTAGTCTGTATTCTAGTACCACCACTGAACAGAAGAACTGAACCGAGGACTACTGTAAGCCTCCAAGCTTGTACTTGACCGTCAAACCAGCAGTGAGCTGCTGTTAAAACACGACTGGCTGATATAAGAGATCCACCACAAACACTAGTAGCTGGATTACCCGCCACGGTGACGTCACCAAGAATTCCAGCCTGCAAATTAAATACATAGTTAAAAAATCGGCAGGCAGATTTATTTTCATGTCTTGTGTATCTTCTATCTGATGGTCATCCGTCATGGTGGCCGTTTCGTGTTTATCACATTCATTGATTAATAACTAAATCATAGTTCTTTGTATCTTATTTACGCTTATGTATCTAAAAAGCCTATATAATTTGTATGACGCCATCGATATTAATAGATTAATTCTAAAAACAAAGAGCTACTGCGAGCAAATTCATTCATGCTTATAGCAAACTTATCACTATGTACATAATGCCTAATACCTGACTACTCTGCATTACAGTGGTAATACCTTTGGGGAATAACCCAAGCAATATGCTAAACACAATGCCATAGGCGAAGACAGTTAGTTTACTATTAGATATGTACTCAATGATAAAGTCAAACCTGGAACGGGTATTGTCCAAGAGCAGCTGGCACCCCTCCAATTATTCTTGATGCTCCTAATTTTTCAGCTTCCCGAATTCTCTCCGCTTCTGGGATTCCTATATTTTGTATATACCCGTAAGCGAGACTCTGTCCAGAAAATTGGACATCTTCCGCGTGAACAATGGCGCCAAAAACAAAAAGTGCAACTAGAAACTTCATCGTCAGGGGAAATCCAACTAATGGCAATGATATAAAACTCTGTATCCTTATAAAAAAAAACAAATAATTAAAGTAAGAGTAGAATTATATCGTTTTTAATCGCACTGATTTCAATTACCTATCAATGTATTAAGCTGATAGGTTATCAACCTTTTGTAATTTATTATAGTTGTTTACGTTAGTACTTAAACAATCATGAATCTTTGCATTTACGAAATCTTTACCTATCAATTAGAATTTTTAGAAATTACGTGATTTTGATTTCTTACCGTTTATACAAAAAGAAAATCTGATGTTAGAATTTTGCAAGTATATTGCTCACGAAAGCAATTTTTATAGTTGACGGGCCGACTCTCCCGCAATGCGCTTCTACAAACAATTTCAGTCTCTGCCTTGCACAGGGGACTGTCACTCAAGCGCTGGCGCGGAACAACCCAATGATATTAGCTCCCCATTTAGTCCAGACCCCGACGTTGCTTACCTCTGACCCTTTTTTGCCCTCTAACTAAGATGGAACGCAGAACATGGGGGATCATATTACAGTGGACAGTCGTTTTAGTCTAAAGTCAAACTCTTTAGTTATGCTGACATTGTATTCAGATTCAATTCGCATACGCTCGTGTCAGTTTGGTTATCTTCCATTTTTGGTAAAGGTTGAGGTTTATTTGTATGACAATAGAACAGAATAATTGGCTGCATTGTGGTCCTTTCAACGTTGTCGGATACTGTGACGAGTGTTCTTTAACATAATTTTATCATGCAAGATTTGTACAAAGAAATTGTGAATGTTATATTTATTTAAATAGTTAAATTGTTGTAATTATGTTCAGTTAAAGTATCTTGTTACAGGTGCATTGCAAACAGTCGAAACGAACTCTAGAAATACGTTTCGGGTCTGTGTCGAATTGAGATTCGATTAGTCGTAGCGAACTTGAAACGGAGTGAGTAGCGACGGGCTCAAACATTAATCGAATTTCGGTCTTCGGCAGGCGGACGATCAAGTGTGCGTTAGTTCACATTACGAGGCCTCTTGACTCTCACTCGATACTTGCTCTCGAGTGTTCGATATACGATATCGACTCGAGATGTCTGCCACGAGTGATTGCAGGATGTCAAGAGGTCGTAACAGAGGATCACTGCTATACAATTCACTAAGGTCCACGGTAAGTACAGCACTTCATTTCAGTGCATATTGTGAGCGAGTCAGTTTGTATGAGACCACCATTGAGTTTATATTACACATTACACATCCAATAATTTCAACTGTTTTTCTCTGGTTAAACCTAAATTAATACATGTAATATTGCACATTATTAGAATGCTTATAAGAATTATTCCATGAGTAAAAAAATCGTTCCATGTAAAAAACTTTAAGTTTTGAAAACAACGACAGATGTATAAATGATGTGGCACGTCACAATAAAACACCACGATTAAAAAGTAATCTGATTTAAATTTGGAACGAGACTGTCAGTGTGTGCGTGCTGGTGTTGTCATTGGATAGATTATCGCAGTGCGTTAATCTGGGTTTAACAACAGTTTGCACATAACTAGCCAATCGATCTTGTTTGATTGACAGACGGGGCGGGAACAATACCAATGAGTAAACTATTTTCTGTATCGATAATCATCGCCATTCATCGATATAATTAAGTACACAAAGTTTTCATCCCTGACAGTGCTTTATTTTGTAACAATGGATAGTTAAAAGCCTCAAAATTGGGTCCTCTGATTTTAGTCATGTTAATTAGTAGTGATTGGTGATTTTGTAACGCAATTTCTCGATCATTTTCGGGTGACCGTCACATTATTGTGAATTTTATTGACCTCAGTTTTTGATAGTTAACTGTAAGTTTTGTTTACGCCTTATTATTTAACAAATATTACCAAGTATACATATATACCACTACAGAATAAAAACAGGGAAAAACACAATTTATGTTACTTCATTCTAATATTATAAATGCGAAAGTTACGTTGTTTGGATGTTTGTTAATGAATAACGCCAAAACGGCTGGACGAATCTGGTAAAATTTGGCACTGGCATAAGGTACACTCCGGAGTAGAACACAGGCTACTTTTTAACAAAATATCACGCGGGCGAAGCTGCAGGCCGAAGCTGGTAAAATGATATTTATAACAAAAAACACCGCTTTTTCGCGATAAAGACTTGCATAAAAGCGCAAAATAAATTATCGCCGTTATTTTACCGTCTCATCGTAATAATATTACCCCCGAGTAAGGAAAGTGACAATGAGTGTATTGGCAAATAAATATAATTAAAAGCGAAGTGTGTCGGGAACGTGACAGCGGCGGGACGTTAATGCGACCGGACTAAATAACGTTAGAGGACCCTTGTTACTGCAATTACGCCCGGCCCGGTTAAAATGTCGGACCGCTTTAAAGTTTTCATCCGGATTTGACGCGTCAGACTATAACATCAATCAGGGTTGCCCGTTGATGCTTTTTGATTTTGATTGTTTTATCATCGTGCATTTGTTTCGTTGCGGCTCGTTGCAGGTTTTAGGGACAAAATTAAAATATTTTAGTTAGTTTTTGCTACTTTTTTTCTTTTAATTATCATATTTACAGTAAATAATACAGGATTATCAACTTAAAATAGCAACCAAAAACCACTAAGTTTTAAACTTATGCTGAAATAAATCTATCTCAAAATCGAAGTTGTATAAAATGAGGTTTTACAAATATACTTAACGTTAATGTCGCTAACTTAAATAAGTTTCGATACAATATAATCGGTAGTTCGTTCGCCGTAGGTGTTGAAGACATGTAGAGTAAGAAGCCTATTCTTAGAAATTGACCGAGTGCATACAGGATATCCGATATTGTTTTTTATTTTTTTATTAAAAAATTGTTGTTTTAATAGTAATAACTTGAACTGAGTGTCAACTGGTAAAACATTACTGAGTTTAAAAAGGTCGTTTATTTTATTGGAAAATATATTTTAAATTTTGGGTGATACTAGTTTTTTTAGAATTTCAATTTGAATTTTGTAAAATAAATAATGCTGTCCGCCAGCGCATAGTCAAGCATTTGATTACCTTCACTTCGAAGAGTTAGCGTAACTGCAATTGATGTATTTTACCTACACGAAAACATTTCTCATACCCATCATATACATAGATTGTTGGCATACAATAACTCCAAGGACTCGGGGTCCGTGCCCTTGTCATTATTTCCAAAAACATCATTAAAATTAAATATTTTAACCAACACGTTACACTTAAATATTTACAACCAATACAGCCTAATTTTATATTTCAAACCGGTACACCTTTCATTCCTTCAAGAAACAGGTGTAGGTACTCTTTTTTAAAAAACCTGTAACACATTTGTTACACCTTTGGTGTTGCGGGTGTCCTGAGCGGCGCCGATCTCTAACCGAAAGGTTATCCAACAGCTTGCTTGGATAGGAGCTCCTTCTCTTTATGGCTGCTCGGTTAGCAGCCATAATAAGAAGGTTTATTTATTTTGCCTATTTTATACTTTGCACCTGTAACATACGGCGTAGGATAACGTATAGTGATTTAAAGACAACAAAGTTTTGTAAATAATGTAAAAATGATATGACCAGATCTATCAAGACATTTTTGGTGTACAAGTTATTGTTTTTTATTATTTTAATTTAATTTATAGCTTTTTATATAACTATGATGTTTTATTGCTAACAGGACATCTACATAAATGTAGAACAATATATTTCAACACCTTTATATAGATTCCGGACAACTTCATACAAATCCTTCTATATATTTTTTTCTGATACATAACAGATAGTCACATACAATCAAACAAAACGTTTATACATGAAAATTAACGAATATAGATGTAGACACTAACTCGTCTAAAATGAACTTACATATTTTATATTTAATGGTATTGTAAAAAAACTAATGAAAAAACCCAAAATGAAAAAGACATACAAAATTTTAATCGACACAAACATAATATTCAAGAAGCCATAATATTTGGGAATAAATCCAACTTGTCCATTTACAATATTGTATCTGAATCCATTAATAATGTTTAATTAAACACTCTTAATATTGGGCTTTTCACGTGTGCTTTTATTTAAAAATATATTTCCGGACGATAGTATTTCACTGTCATTGGTCGGCAGACTATAATGCGGAATTGATGTCGCATCGGTGGATAAATACTTTATATTGACGCCGAATAAATGAGTCAATCAGTGCGTTTATTTTTAAAATGATGCAGCAATTTGTTCATTATTCATGTTTTACGACGGTAATTAATTCGATTTTGTAAAGATTTGATATTATAAATAACAATGGATTTTTTTATTATTATTTTTGTATTTCTTTCTATGTTTTTTTTTCTTGTTTGTTTTTATATTTCTGTGTTTCATGAATAGTAAGTACCGTACCTGTTTTAGAAGAGAATTTAGATAATTAAGTAAGTCTCTTGTCAATTCAATGATTTTTGTTTTTTTTTTCTAACATTAAAATTTGAGTACAGAAGTAGACTATGATGCGTTTTTCAGAATATACTTACATTACACATCTTCGTTACCCCGTCACATAGCCCAGACTGCTGCATCCGTGTTACTAAAGAAATATACGAAAATTATTCGTGGTTCACTATTGACTGCTAAGATCAAAAAGCTGACTAATATAATTTTTAAGATACAGCTTTATAATGTTTTTTTTTTTGATGATTAAAAATCTTCAAATGACTTCTCTCGCTAAAGTTATGGCGAGAATGAATGTCAGATTCTTAGTGGCTAAAAACCCCCCGTTCCATCTCCAGCTCTCCAGGTCGAGGCTGCAGTACCTTATAGCGCTTGACCCCGAACCCAGACTTTTGTATTTTTCACAAGCAGACCATAGCGTTTCTTGCATATCTTTATTAATTACGATGTAATGTCAGATTACCTTTTATATTTAGCCTTATATCGAAAAATGTTTTATCTAAAAATATGTACAGGGTGATATTTTGACGTAAAAGTTTTAGTGGTAAGAGTTATTTATGCTAACACATCCCGCGACGTGTTCTGTCGGATTATGACCGAGAC